CAGTGTCTTAGGATAACGACATAGCTAACAGTACACCGCTATATCAGGGGAGACATGGAGGAAGTACATCTCGGGCATGTGCCTTGCCAATCCACTCCACAGCAAAGACTCCGACCTCTCGCTGGATCTGACGTCTCCTGAAGACCAGTCTGCTGCTCCAGATCCTTCCTCCTTTGCTGGCTTTATGTCATCACGATGCCGCGCCTACCTCCAGTCGCACAGGCCGGTTGACCACCCCGTTCCGGGCGCTCTCGACTATGGCTGTAACTGCTACTCCTCCGGAGAGGAACTCAACGCGGAGTGCATCATCGTAGGGGCGTGGAGGAGCATGTTGACCTGGCTCGACAAGCTTTACGCAGACCCGACGTATGCGGAGGTAGAGCTGCTCGTTGAAGAAGACATTGACGACGGTGGCTGGGATCAGTGGAGGAAACAGGGACAGAAGGCAGAGGATGAAGAGTCGCCAAAAAATGGCGACGAAACGTCCCAGTAATCGCCTCTTCCTATCACAAATTGGGGAGATCAAGACGCTGAGAGGTTTTAAATTGAGGGGAACAGAAGGATGCTACACATAGGAAATCTTTGAGGACAGAACCTGTGAGCTAGGTATGCGCAGCAGAAATCAACAGACCCAATCTTCACTCAGGAAATGACATATTTGCTACAGTAGCCATCACCCGACTCTGCTGTCCATTCGTACTAAGGTAATCAGCTGGAAGGTTGCGGTGTACCTCAATGAAACATGCATATAGCATTATCACTGCGAGGAGCGTTGAAACTCTTGAATGACGAGGCCAGTATTATCACCTGCATCGCATTGAAAAGACAGCACATACTGCAGTGCAGTAGGATAGCTGTGTCGCTAAAGCAAGAGCGAGACCTGTCGACTGTCATGTGACGATGGGTCTCGACCCTCCCGTCGCCTGTCCGAACACACGGTATGACAGACCTGCGCGTCGTCCTCCTTCATGAATTCTGACATTGTTAGTTATTTTATCTGTCTCTGGTGAACAAAAAGAATGTAACGTTGCAAGAGATAAGGCTTGTTCATCCCTAATTCCAGTTGATTTACGAAGATAAGACTAAACATTCCGAAAAGATTGTGAAACCATCTCGCGTCTACCTACAGTACCACGACGAAGACCACTGCAACGGCCGCGTGATGACAACGAATTGGGAAATGCTACCCCTAGCATGGAATCCAACACCAGCAGCCAGCATGTTTGAGACAAGGTTTTTGTTGTCTCTTTTCGTGCTACTTCTCTTCAGTCTACAAGAGGGGCTGGGTTCTGGGCCGGGAAAGTCGGGTCGAAAAGAAACACTGCAGTTCTACTGGAGAAGGACGACGAGGGGCAAGCTCCCGATGAAGTTTTGATCGAGTAATGGTGATAAGGACCGCTACCAACAGAGGAATTTCGATCGTGTAATGGCCAGACCTGACTAAGAGAACAAGCTAGCAGCTAGTCCTCTAGCGCGACTCAGACACCCGGGTCCCTGCGGCTTAGTCCAATTGCGCACGCGGCCGACGCCTTTGTCAGCATCGGAGCCGACCGATAAAAAAAATGACCAACGACGCTAAGCTAGCTTATCTTGCACGCCCTCGACGCACACTCGCTGTTCTGTCCTCAGCCATCTCCCACCGCAACGGTGCATTGTGTGCGATTGTCGATAAGTCTCCCAGCCAAAGTCCGGGGAACACGCCTTACAAAAGCTTCTCTCTAGCGTCTCCGGCCTAGGGAACGACATGGGTCGTTGTCTGGCGGAGAAGGTGGCCGCACCAGCCCTGGCGGGGTAGGAGCAGCGGCAGGCAAGCCGAGTCCATGCCACCCCAAAACGGGCAAATCTGAGGGTATCCCCGATGTCCAATCGGTCCCGGAGCCATCCATCGATCGTGCATGTGGACACTCTGCGGAATGCGGATATGCGGTGGACGAGGCCCTGCGAGGCCTTCAGGCTTCACGGAGCGCCAGCAAGCTATCTCCACCCCCGCCCAAAACACCGTACCATGCCTTTCCTCTCCGGGCGTGTCAGCGGTGGCACTCTCGGGTTACAGTGTACAGACTAACTCGCTCCAGCGAACGCTCATGATGTCGTCTGTGGTGGCTCAGTTGCCTCCCCGTCGCTCCCGTGGATCGCGGTGGGCCAGCAGCGGGAGTTTTGTTAACGTTATGGATCGCACCAAGAAATGACTTTTGCCCTTGGCGGATTACGGAGATGGGGGCTCGTTCTCGTCTCTGTCCGCAGGCGTTTCCGAGGGTTAATTTAATAGTGAATCAATCCTGCCTTTCTTTTTCTTTTTTCTTCTTGCCCCTTTGTTAAAAGAGCCTATTATTGTATATTTTTTTGGCCCGTTGGGCTTCCCAATCCGCTTGGGCGGCGTTCTCTTTCCCTATTCAGAACGGTCTCTCTTTTGCCTCCTTATCTACCTTTTTTGGCCTCAGCGCCGCCACGATAAGCAAGCCTCTAGCTTGTCTTGTCTGCTCTGACTGGCGCCAACGCGCCTTTCAGGAGAAATCCTTGCTTTTTTTCTCTTTTCCTTGCTCTCTCTCTGTTTTGGGTGTGTCGTCCGGGGAGCCCTAACTCCCCAGATCTCTATCTTATCATAGTTTTCCTTATCAAGTACCCAGGCGGGCCAAGCGTGGTGTTGATTAGAGTCAGCAAAGCCAAAGATAGCTTGTACTTAAGCAAGATCCCGGACTCATGGATGCAGTGACCGTGGTCGCCTCGTCCCGAGCCGTTGTGTCGGGCCGTTTTACTGCGGCCACGATTGTGATCTCCCAAGCCACCGGAAAGATCGTCCAGGTCTTCGACTCGGTCCGCCCAGCATCCGACTTCCCCCAGGGCACGCCATACAAGGATTATTCTCCCCATGTCTTGCTCCCCGGTCTGGTCGATGCCCACGTGCACCTGAATGAGCCTGGACGGACCGAATGGGAGGGTTTTTACACGGGCACCCAGGCCGCCGCGTTTGGCGGCGTGACCACCGTCATCGATATGCCCCTGAATGCCATTCCCCCCACCACCACGGTGGCTGGCTTACACGAGAAGATCCGCGCCGCGCAGGGCAAGTGCTGGATCGACGTGGGCTTCTACGGTGGGGTGGTTCCAGGCAATGCTCACGAGCTGAAAGCTCTAGTGCGAGAAGGTGTCCGTGGGTTTAAGGGTTTCCTAATTGACAGCGGAGTAAGTTAAATGGATAAAAAATAAGATAAAATGAATAAATCCTGTAATATACTAAGCGTGGGCCCAGGTCGACGAATTCCCAGCAGTTACTGCTGCCGATATTGAAAAAGCCATGGTAGAGTTGGCAAATGAGCCCACAACGCTCATGTTTCATGCCGAGATGGTCCCTCCCATTACAGCATCTGTTGGCGATGAGGTGCAAAAGTCGGCAGCCCCAGCTGCACCAGCGGGTCCTCTGCAGGCTTACTCGACGTTTCTTGCGTCCCGTCCGTCGTCTTTCGAGACGTATGCGATTGCTCAGATCGTGGACTTGGCATCAGTCGCGCCCAAACTGCCCCTGCATATCGTCCACCTCTCTGCGATGGAAGCAATCCCACTGCTCCGCAAGGCCCGTGAGAATGGAGTGCCCATCACTGCGGAGACCTGCTTCCACTATCTGTCATTGGCAGCCGAGGAGATCGCAGAAGGTGACACCCGCCACAAATGTTGCCCCCCCAATCCGGTCACGGCTCAATCAAGAAGCTCTGTGGGCCGAGCTGGAGCGTCATGCGATGGATGGTGTCATCAAGACCGTCGTGTCGGATCACTCGCCTTGCACTCCAGAGCTCAAGCTTCTTCCCCCGCACATTGCAGCTGGTAACTTGTCGTCGGCCCGCTCGTCAGCCACTGGAACCCCTTCTGCTAGCAGCAGTGTCTCGGAGTTCAATGGAGAAGAAGAGGCACCGGTGAACGATGGGAACTTCTTCTCCGCCTGGGGCGGCGTTTCATCTGTGGGCCTAGGCCTTCCGATCCTGTGGACGGAAATCAGCAGGCGCAAGAATGTATCCTCAGCGCCTGGCGAGAAAACCGCAGATCAAGCTCTCCGGGACATTGTCCAATGGTGCAGCACCAACACAGCCGCGCAGGTCGGTCTGGAGAAGCAAAAGGGCGATCTCGCCGTCGGATTCGACGCCGACTTCTGCGTGTTCGACGACACGGCGGAGTGGACGGTCGAGCCCAGCACGATGCTCTTCCGGAACAAGTGCTCTCCTTATCAGGGCAAGACGCTGAAGGGGATGGTGCTGGAGACTTGGCTCCGGGGGAACAAAGTATTCTCCCGAAGCGAAGGCTTTAGTCCGAAGGGGCCGAGCGGGCAGCTTTTGTTGGAGAAACGAGAGAGAGCTTCTTAAGATGAGTGATATGATTCCACATCCTTGCGCTCGTATATATATGTTATCTCACGTGATAACCTTCTTGGATATTTACTGTTGCTTTTTCCCGTTGTCATTATTTTCTTTCCTATATACATACCATTCTTGTTATCATCTCGATTTTTCTGGTTTGGTTTTGTTTAGCAAGCGAGCGAGCGAGCAAGCCACCACACGAATGGATGATTGGTTGATACCAGATTCTGTATCTCATTTCCTCCTCCAATTTTCATGTATATATATACCATAATGAGTGTCCGTGGTCATTTTATTTCATTTCGTATTGCATCTTGCATTATTCTCGCATAATTATGATTATGGTTATGATTACGATTATACCATCCGCATGAGCGAGTTCTTTTTTTTTTTGTTCCTTTTCTTTTTGACATTTATGTGCCTATGTTTTGGAGTTAGTTTAGATCTAGATCTACAGTTTTGATAAGATAGGATAGGAGAATCGAAGATATTTCCGGAATACTTCAGAGTTTTGTTTTTTTTTTCTGTCCCTACCAATTCCTTATTTTGGTAGCTTCTGGATAATCCCCGTGTTGGGTATTTGTACAGTACATGTAACAATACATACATACAAGGCTTGTCTGAACCCATGTACTATGTAATTAGGACCAAGTAAATGATAGATAGAACTCGTACGATATCTGATTATTGAGGAGAAATCCATTCTCTCTATTCTATGTTTTACATGGAACAAACACTCTGACGAACGTAAAAGAATCGAATCATATACCGTCATTATCCGCCCTCCATCGCTCTCTCACTCTCCTTCTCACTCCCCCGTTTACGCCCCTGCCCCATATCTCCTCTTTCTCCCCGACGCTGCCGCCATCATCTGTCTCTGTCCGTTTCTCTGCTTTCTTCCTTTCTTCAGAGCCATCATCTCCAACTGATCCTACAACCACCTTCCGCTCCATGGTAGCTTTCTCCTTCTTCCGCGCCTGTCTCACTTTCCGCAAATATGCCGCATACACCACCACCTCGGCCACGCCGACAAGGAGGCCTGCAAAAATTGATATGAGAACAAATGCGGGTTCCACCGCTTGCGCGGCCGTTCCCGTCACCGGCTTGGCCCTGGCGAAGCTGAGAAAGGACGGAGTCTGGAAGTTGCTCAGGGCCCAGAAGGTGCTGAAGCCGCAGAGGAGGACGGACAGGAAGATGTTGAGCACGAGGGACGGGGTGAGGGGGTCGTTGTCGCTATCGGCATCCGCATCGGCATCGTTCAAGCTGGGGCCAGCGGAAGAGGAGAATATAGGGGATGGGCCAGGGGCGTTTGAAGGCGATGATAGGAGACGTTTGTAGGCTTCCTCCTCGGCAGCAGCCTGGAGACGTGCTTTCAGGGCGAGGTATTCTGGGCTCTGTGCAGAGAAGTATCCTGTCAGTACAAAGATGGCTGATGCGGTCGGTGTGAGAAGGGACGTACGGGCTCTGGCTTGGGAGGCGGCGGAGGGACATAAACTCTTGTGCCCCGAAGAAGAGAATCGAGAGTGTAGAGAGGAGCAGAATCTGCTGCAGCTTCTGAAGAATGGTCGCTGCTGACACCGTCATGCTCCCCATTCCTCTTGTCTGCCACGGTGTTCTCGTCTCCTCTCTTATTGTCATCTCCCGCCGGTCGATCCGAATGGTCTTCCCCCTCCTTACGGACTTTCGAGGTAAAGTAGCGTGCCAGAGCTATGACCTGCGCATGGGAAATCGGCGACCCTACAGCGGGGGAATGCGGCAGCTGCAGCTCGTCACGAGACGAGGGCGACAGTGTTTCGAGCGCCGAGAGGATGGTGGGAGTTGTTACGAGGAGGACCATCCTGCGGCGGCTATTTGTCCTATGATCGTAAGTGCCGCTGCCACAGAGGATGCATTGTCTCAAATTGTTGAGAGGGGAAAAAAAATGTACGGAGTAGTAGCTATGGCGAGCTTCCTACCGCGCCGACGTCATGCGTGCGCCGGCCTTGTCCCGAATAGGCATACGAGCTCCATCCAATAATCCTCCGTGCTGGCGATGCGATCGCAACCAGATTTTAAGTATCGAGCCCAATAAGAACCAACACCCCAGAGCATTCAACCTTCTCGAGAGACAGACATCCGCCTTGATTCACCGGCTTCTTGGCCAGTCTTGTCCGGCTTGATGACCACGCTCTGAGCGGAGAATCAGGCCGGTCTCGCACAAATGGCGGACCAGAAGAAATCTGAGGGGTAAGTAGTTCATCCCACATGGTTGCGACAGCTGAACCCACCACCAGCAGAGATCACACAAAACGATCAATAAAATCAATAGAGAAACCCCTTCTTTTTTTCCCCCTTTCTTTTCGCTTCTTCTGTGCTAACATTTAGTTAAACTCGTTGTAGCTCCTCCGCAAAAACAACCACCACCAAGACTAACCCGCGGGGTATCCCCGTTGCGCCGTTCGTCGACAATGTCACAGACTATGTCTCGAGCCGCGCGGACGTCGAGCCGACCCTGCGGTCGTTCCAGGAGATGATCTCGAAATACCAGTTCATGGAGGTCAACACGCAGCGACGGGCGCAGGGTCTGAGGGAGAAGATCCCGGATATCAAGAAGACGTTGGACATGGTCAAGTTTCTGAAGGCGAGGCGGAAGGTACGCACATACACGCGCGAAAGGAAAAAATCAGCCCTTCTGGAGAAAATGTTCCTTACAAGTTAAATAATTCAAGGCTGGCACGGATACTCCTATTGAAACGCATTTTGAGCTCAACGATACCCTCTATGCGCGCGCGACTATTGCCCCAGAGGACACCGACGAGGTGTATTTGTGGCTGGGAGCAAACGTGATGCTGGCATACCCTATCGACGAGGCCCAGACCATGCTGGAGGAAAAGCTGCGCGCCGCCGAGTCGAGCCTGCGCAACTGCGAGGAGGATCTGGAATTTCTGCGGGAGCAGATTACGGTGCGTTGCAATACAATTCGCTGGCCATAAAAGAGGCGAAATTAAGCTGACTGTTTGCAACAGACACTTGAAGTTGCCACCGCGCGCGTCTACAACTGGGACGTTGTGCAGAGACGAAAGGAAAAGGCAGAGGGAAAGGACGAGGAGGGTGATGAAAAGGGTCGCCCTGATGGCTAAACTATGACAGTGGAGTCAGAATCGAAACAAAATTCGAGAAGTAGTTCTAACGATAAAATATTAAAATATATTTATCCACGAATAAAACACTAGGCAGAAAGACAAACGTCGACGTCAGTTAACTTGAATAACCAGGAGGATACAGTAGTTGAGATCCAGTACTGTACTGTATGTACATACTTATTTAGACACCCACGCTGTTAAAAGCGAAAGCTCCTGAGGAGATTTGTTTTCTTCATATCCAAATCAAGGGGTTTTTTTTTCTGCTGCATAATGCGAGTTGGATGAACAGGACCGACGAGTAAAAAAAAAACTATTATCACCGTGATCTGTGGCAGCACACTATACATACCTACTGAAATTGTATATTTCTTGAACTATAAATAAAAGGCTGTATATAACAAGGACTAGCTATATATATAATATTCAACAGAACCGGGTAATGATGTACATACAGTACATACATTGAATCCTGTTCCGGCAACAATATCACATCACCTCACCTTACACCTCTTACGATGAAAAGCAACAACATTATTTTTTTCTTTGCCAAAATCTGGGAAGTACCTACCTAGACAATTACTACCTAGGTAGTACCTTAAAGTAGGTATCAATTATGCCCGAGGGTCCAAAAGGCCAGATGCTAGTTATTTTCTCTTCAAGCCAGTCTATAAGATCAAGAAAACGTCCACTAGAAATAAAGCTTCCCTCGCCCTATCTTATTTATTTGGGTATGCATCCTCTCATGACGCATGTTTCATCTTCGTGGAAAGGGAAAAAAAAACAATATATACAATCGAAATGCAAATAAAAACGCCTCTGCGCCGGCCCCTAATTAATTCTTTTTGTCATACCCATCATCTCCCAAAAAACACACACATGTCACATGTGCTAAACTACGCTGGCTGCTCGAACCCTCTCCGGACCACACGGCCAAACATCTCAACTCCCACCCGCTCGCTCTTGACCTCGCTGCGGGCCTCGTTCTCCCGGTTCTTGGGCACGCGGATCACAACCTCCTTGCCCGACTTGTCCACTTCCCATCCGCAGACGTCGACGACAAATTTCTCGAGTGCCTCCCGGCTCTTCAGGTCCAGCCATTGCGCAAGCACGTCCGCGTTGATCTCACGGAACGTCTTGCCGACCTCGACCGCGATGCGCACGCGGATCAGCTCCTCGAACCCGGCAACGTCCGCCACCAGATCCGCATACAGGTCATCCGAGTTGAACGTCGACCAGAAGAGAGCGTACTGCGCCGACTCGAGCAGCGTGTTGAGCCGCGTCAGCTTCTGGATCGACTCGACAAAGTCGGACGTTTGCGACGGTTGTTGATTATCCCCACCAGACGGACCGAACGGCTGCGTGTGCGGGGGCAGGAGAGCGAGAGACAGCGAAAAGGCGGGAGATGGGAAGACGGTCAAAGCTTTGGCAAGGATGTTGGTGACGGTCTCCGGCTGGAGGAGGTGAGGGTTGAATTGGTAGCTATCGAGGCCAGTCAGTCAGTCAAAGTCCAATTCAAAGACCTGTCGCAATGCATAAACGCAGCATGGTCTGTGGATCCATCAGATAGAGCTAATATACACTCCAGATTTCCCGCTCATTCTAGATAAGGAATGAGGGAAAAGTCAGGTAATAGGAAACGTGGTAATATTAGTTCTTCATCATAAGATCCACGCATAAACATAAATTGTAAAAAAAAAATATACTCAGAATATACATGGATTGGCCCACTCACAGTTTCAACAGCGCCAAGTTCGCATAGCAGTCAAATGTCCGGTCCTCGCACTGCTGCACAACATAGTCTTGGAAGGCCGTCACTGTCTCGGGGTTGTACCGCTCGAGGCTGTTCAGAATGGCGTCAATGTGCGCCGGCCGCGTCTCGCACTTGTCGAATGCGAGAACCATGATTTAAGTCTTTTTTTTCCCTTCCCTTTTCCCAGTAGAATTACTCCAGGATCTGATTATAAAATAGAATAATCAATGAAAGGTATTTCGTCAAGAGAAAGGCCGGCCCAAAAGGAAGGGACTGTATGAAGGGAGGTTGCAGACTGGAGTTTGTATTGGATGGAGATTTTGGTGGTGCGGTGCATTGCTCTCAGTGTGGTGGTGGGGCTTCGATGGTTGGTGGTTATTGCTCCCGCCCGGCCAAGCCCCAGGATAGGTAAATTTGTCCGATACCTTGCAGGCCAGAGCTTGCTTCGTTGACTCATACTTGCTTCTGATCTCTAATCTGTCTATTTATACTGTGGACCTAGATACTCTTACCAAGTACAGGGCAATTGTCACCTTGTTTTGCAATTTAAAGTGAAATTACATCCTCATATCTACAGGTTCAATCGCTGGATTATTCTTCAAGATAACCTGTACAGGCTGTGTACATGATTATGACCATGACAATGACCGTTGACGCCGTACACCGTCTCCTATTATTAAATCGCTAATCAGATCGACCTGAGGCCAGCGTCGACGCCAATAACCAGCGTTCGGAAAAACAGGAAAAGAAAAAAAAACAAAACATCCACCCATTGACCGTCCCATAATACATTCCTAAACTCCGTGTCCATGTCTTTAAAATGCTCTCACCCAGATCTAAAATGTGTCGCAAAACTCCTGCCGCCATGGATCAAATGCGAAGAAAAGCATGTGCAGTGATCGTAACATGAGGCCGTGAATTGAATCATCAGGATGCTCAGGGGAAAACGCGATCAATCGGGTGAATGCTGATTAAGATATGGGTTACAGGGATGGCGACAATAATGCCAAATTAAAAAAAAAAAGGAATAGTCGCTTCAGAGATTATCAAGCCGCAATAGGGCGACGTGAAATAGGGATGGGCTGTGGACCCGAGGACAAGTCCAGAGACGACAATCCCAGATCGCTTGGGGCGCGACTGTGACTCGGTTTCCGGTTATGTTTCTCTTTCTCTTGAGATGACTGGTTCGTGTTCGATTGCTGCGACGAAGATGGAACGTTCTCCTCGGGAGATACAGTGCTGCAGACGAATCGCTCCTCCGAGATCGGCAGTCCCCCGAACATGGAGCCTAGCTGCTGGAGCAACGCCACAAAGTGTGCGTGAAGTTCAGCAAATATGTATTCGTTTCCAACAATTTCAGCCAGGTTTCTCGCGCGGATCTGCCCGGCTCGTCGGGGTTGTCCGTCCGGATCGACGGTACGACCGGTCAGAAAGGATGAGATCGGGGTGTAATCACGGCCGCCGATTTTGCTGGAGGAAGCATAGCTGCGCTCCTCGCGACGCTTTTCCTCTTCTTGGTGCTTCTCGGCGGCGCTGACAATGCTGCCGGCGATGCGAGAGAAACTGCGCCAAATGATTGGAGAGGCCCGGAACGCACGGCCGGCATCTTTCCCAGCCAGGGCGACCAGCGCGTAGCTGCGCCGCTTTCCACGTGCCATGGCATCGGGGAGACGGAAAATATACGCGATCGTGTAACCGGCGACGGAATCACCGAAGCACAAGGGGCCTGAGGACAGACCTCGAGGCAGCAACTCACAGCTCAGCGTGCGGATGGATGAGCGCCGCAGGAGCGCATAGTCTGCTGGATTCGGAGGGCCTCGCAAGGAAAGGTAAGTCAGGATGTGCGAGTGACAAGAGACGTCCGAGGCAACCGAGGAGGAATGCAGCGAGTCCGGGAGGGACGAATGTAGATGCGGATCATGTGCCTCGTCATCCGAATCGGAGTGGTTGCCCCCACAGGAGTAGACAACCTCTCTGGAGCGCAGAACGGGGCTGCCACTCTTGCCTTTGCCATCGGCTTTGGAGGTCCCAGAGGCACTGGGAGGCAGCTGCTTGCTCACATCTTCTGGAAGGGAGATGCTGCAACTCGCACAAGTATCACCCTCGGCGCCTCCAAAGCGATTGAGGCGTTCAGTATTCTCGCGACTCTCCTGCTGCTGCTGCTGCTGCTGCTGCTGTTGTTGCGATTTGAGGAAATATGGATGGTTTTCGATATTCTGGGAGGAGCTGGTGGTCGTGGTTGTCGCGCCAGTGGCCAGAGAGCCCGACAGCGCCGAATTCAAGGGCGACGATGCCAGCTGGCGGGAGGAAGTGGTGTCGTGAGAGGTAGAGGGGGTCTCAGCGGGAGAAAGGTCGGAGGTTTCGGGGTAGCATTGGGAGCAGGAAAAAGGCAAGACTTGCGAACATATGATCGAAGTCGGGCCATGCACTTCGCAGAAATGCGTCAGGGAAAGCTGTAAGACGCCAGAGAGTCAGTCACGCAGGTCAGCCCTGAAGACAGTGCGACAATAGAGTAACAGCAGCTATAGCAGCTATTTTGTTGACGACAGAGGTATTTCGCTCTCGTCGTAAGTGAAACATGGTGCAGGCACATGCGGTATCTACCCTCCCAGGGGAGCAGAAAATATCTGCGTGGCCGGGAGAGGATCTCTCGTGATGGCAGGGCAGGGCTGATAGCGCGCACCCAAGAGGTCCAAGAGCTACCGGCCATGTGGGAAGCACATGCGCTGGTGCAGAAACAGGGATGCGACACGATGCGACAGGGGGAGCAGAAGCAGGGAAAGGGTGTCGTGTACGTACAATGAAATCCATGTCCACCAGAGGTTAAATCATCGAGCAGTATTGAGCAAGCACTTCAGTCCATTATTGCGAGACATGCTTTCGTGACAGGTGTTGCGTGCGCGTGTGTATATGGTGCAGTTCTCGATCTGGGGTGGCAACCGGCCGGGGCGTTGCAACGGTGATGAGGGTACGGTGAGATCAGAGACGGGAACCGTCAATTGCCCGCAGGGAGGGGACAGCAGAGATTTGCCCTCAGGCGGTCTGGAGGAAGAATTCACCGTGACTGCAGAGAGAGGAGAGGAATAAAATAAAATAGTAACGATAATAAGAAAGGGGGGCACAAAGAGGGCGAGCAGCGAACAGCGAGGCGCGTGGAGGTGAAGGGATGGGCTGTCCTTTTGTAACGGTCACGACTATGACAGGTAACCTTAACGGGCAGTTGACGGGCCCGTCGACCGATCGATGCAGTAAGCAGCTAGGAGGAACACTCGATACACTGGTAAATGTAATAATAATTGCTATTCGGCCGTTGGCCAGGCTGATGCTCTTGCGCTCCGTCGGCTAGGCTCATCACTCGGGCAGGACTGATTGGATCGGACGGGGAGGATGGTGTCGGAAAGGGCGAGCACCGCGGCGAGGGACGCTGGATCCGGATGGGGGAGCAAGGCGCGTGTGCAGCGAGCATGGAGGCTTGGCCGCGCCCCAACTAGCTCGCAGCGCGCGGGGCGGGCGTTTGGCGACGGCCAGTGAGCGAGCCGCCAAACAGCCCGATCCAGGCGATGGGATACTGGCCTCGGGGCTGGACCGCTGCTTCGTCCTCCAGATCGGCCTAAATGCTGACGGCCAGAGCAGCCGGGCGATCCTGGCCTGGAGGAACTCAGGAAACCGATCTCTCGAGGACAGCCGACAGATTGCTCTTCCTGGCCAGAGCGACATTCAGACTGCTCAGCCCCTTTGGGCATCCTCTGGGTCGCCAGCCAACGCCGACAACCCGACACACGACAGGGAGCGGCACTAGCGCCGTCCCTGCTCGCCGTTCGAACGGAAGGCGCCGCCACTTCTATCCATCTCAACTTTCTTCACTGCGCAGTCCGGGATCTCCCTGCACGCGAGCAGGAGCAATCGATTCAACCGAACTGACAGGTAAGACTGACAAACGCGACGCGAGGTTGTACCGTTGTACGATTACGATCCTGTGCTCCGTAACTACAGCTCGCTTGCTGACGCATCGCCGGATCCCTGCTCCCAAAGGGGGAAGTGTTGAGACTGGGCTAAGGAATGCGCTCGGGAATAACGCTGTTGTGAGTTGGTCTTAGCGATCCTAGAGTACGGAGTAAGCTGTGTGGCGGTCGTTCTGGAAGCCGCTTCCCCAGCCCTGAAGCACCCGGAATGCCGGTATCCGGCAGGCGCCCGAAACAACTGTTCTTCAGTCCCGTGCGCAAACCGGCGCAAAAGGAAGGTCGCTGGAGGACTCGGTGGTTCGCCGTGCAAACTCCGAGAGAGTTCCTTGGTAGCTTAGGGAGCTAGGGATGGAACGATCCGCCCAATTTCTTCAGACCTCCTTCAGTTGTAACTTGTAGGCTACTATGGAGTACTCCGTACGGAGTATGGAGTGCAAACCGATGACAATCGTCATCCCGCAGCAACGGCAGCAAAATAACATTACGAAAGCAAGCAAGTCATTGCAGTCCTGCGACATTTTCTCCGCTGCCAATGACGCGTTGACTTACGGACTGTCTCCGTCTGCAGGCTGCAAGCAGGGAACGAATGGCAGTCCAGCGATTCTGGCTGATCGCCATGGCCGTTCTCTCTCTCTGTCGTCTGCAACGCGATTGGCAGTCCCAATTTCAGCCTCGTTCGGTTCTGTCCTCCAATCACCGCCTGGGTAAAACAACCGGTCTTTAGGGAAAAAAAAAAAGAAGCTCGCATATAAGCGAAGCCGAGTGGATAATTGATGCAGACTGTCCGGGAATGATCCGCTGTCGACCACGCGCTCAGGGACCCGCCAGCTCGACCATCAGTGGAGTCCTGCCATGAGCATCTCCACCGTTCGGCTTGGATCAGCATGGGATCGGGGACGTTCGAGATACGGGAGTAGCCCTGTCGGGAAACTCTTCATGAGACCTGAAGCCCGAGAGTGTGATGGATGAGGGAAAGTAAGTCTTCTATTTCTGTCTCGGCTAGCTTGACGGAGTATGGATTCGCGCGTTATCCGCTGCGCTCCGTAGTCAGTACTCTGTCCAGACTCCAGAGTACTCAAGACAAGGGAAGACAAGGCGGATTTCTTTCGGGATCTGTTACTTTGGCCCTAGAATTAGATCAATTGATGGACTCTGGCTGAAACGTCCTCGAGACCAACTCCGTAAGCCCGTGGGTCGTGAAACAGATTTCCTGACTGATGACAGTGGCAGTTACATCTGTGTGTGAGCAGCGTAAGCGAAGTCATTATATATATATACGGAGACTTCTCAACATGATACCAGAGCGGATCATTAACTATCAATATTATGGCGTGAGAAAAGAAAAGCAATTGCGGTATACTGCCGTCGGATGAAATGTACCACCATGAAGAAGCTCTCAACCTGGTCCTTGTTCTGGTGTAATTATTGATCCGGGGAAGTGGTTACGTTCGGTATTTCGATATTGCCATGCTTGTCGGGTATTATTATAGTCTACTACGATACGAATCAATTATTGAGCCATGCGGCGACAGGGATACGATTTTTCGGATTCGAAAATAGAGGATGACCTACACGACAGAGTAACTACGCTGTAGAGTCACTGCTGAACCTCTCTTCTGTCCAGATACAAATAAGTACACAATACCTGAAGCTTATGTAGTTAGAATCTAAACGCAATGTATAGACGTGTATGACGGTTAGTCGACGTCATCGAACCGACACCGATAACAGATAACAAACATACATCAACCAACAATGAAAATCAACAGGTTTCAGCAGTTACCTGCACTCTGCTAATCAATAAAAATAATAATTCCCCTTACTAATTCATAGCCCATTTATTAGTATTAGTTACTTCCACATAACCAGAGAAATTCAGGAAATGCAATAAATTATACTATTTCCAGCATAGAGTTTATATATCTGGTCCATGATCAATTCCGCTTCTTTTTTTTTTGTGCAGCTGTCGCACAGCATATCCATCCATGTGCGAAGCCAAGAAAAAAAAAATAAAAAAATAAAGCTTGTTTCTGTACGACTCATTATTACTTAGGTAGGAATAGCAATAATTGCAGTCTTTTTTTTTTCGCGGCATAATAATGGATTCTTAATATGATCTCGTGCGGTGGAGATTCAGAAGGGTGAGGGGTAATCAATGTCCATCAAAAAATTTCCTCAAAAAAAATATTATGATAATCCTATCTACCCCGCCATGGTCACTACTCCCTGCATGCATGCGTCACAGTACTCCTTAGTACCTGTAAGTACCTAAAGTAAGTAGCATTAGTGCGGGGCTGCTGCTGGAATGAATACGACTGACTCTGCATTAGACGAAAAGCTTATTTTCCCCTTGAGACGAAACTGGTTGGATGGTTAAACGTCATCGATCAAAACTTGAGAAAAGAAAAAAAAATGGCCCTGCCGCTCTAACGGAGTAGAGAGTCCAGAATCTTTTGATCATCAATTCGATAATTGATAATTGATTGGTTCGATGATCGCGATGATCGACCGGATATTGGCCGCGGGTACCTAGGTTTAAGGTAAGCTGTAAGCAAAAAAAAATACCACGGATACGACGATCTGTACTCCGTTCCTAGCCGTTATTATTATTATTATGACGTTGATGAATATGGATACGGACATGGATATATTATTTATTCCGCGGCTCCCTTTTTCGGCATTGAAGCACACGAGTTGTAAGGCTGGAATTGAGTTCAGTTCACGGCCCGTGAGACAGCAAGGATGATTACCGTGGTCCACTATTAGTTCTATTTTTTTTCTCTTTTCTCGGCTGATACAACGGAAGGAATCCGTACCTGCGCCATTATTTTCCTTTTTGCCATGATCCCAGCTTGTTGCAAAAATGGGAAATTGGCACATGAAGCGTGGGCTAGTAGTCCCCCACCGCGATGGGTATGTCTGGACAAGTCTGGTATACATATATTAGGTAATAGGGCGTCCAGTGGGGCGTCGTGGAGTACACATTGTACGGTACCCTAATGTCTTTTTTGGCGAAAGTTTCGGGCTCATTTCTTATTCCGTTTCTTTGATAGTATCAGGGAATTTTTTTCCTTCTACGGCAGTAGTGGCTGGTACGTATAGTTTAGGCAGTTTGTTGCTGCAGGTTCCTGCGTATGCTCGTCCAGAGTCAACCACTGCCATTATTTTATTTATTTATTTAACTCTGACCCATCAATATGCGGGCCCGCGGGTGCAGTCACAAGCTTCAGTGCTGAGCAGCACGTATGGTATGACAGCCGGCTTCGATTGGAGAATTTCAATTCCGACTGCCCTGCGGCCTGTCGCCCGAGACTGAGCCTCTTCACATGGTCATGCAGCAGAGGCAGAACCAACAGCTCTGACATTGTCAGATATAATAAGATTGGTGTGGATGGATGGATGGAGTCAGGTATTATTATTTATTCCGTATTGTCTTTCCGTCTGACCGTGCCAGGGTCCAATATGCCCCGCGGGCAAATATTGAAAATACTCCGTATTATTGTCGTTGATCATGGTCAGCTGTTTTCCCTCGTTTAATAATTAAATCTATCTTACTATGATTGATCATCATGGTCCAAAGAAAGGGATCTGACTGTTATCCATGTGCGAACTTGCCGAGGATGGTAGTATAGTCACCGGGAATTTCCGGCTGAACTCAGCTCGGTTCATTCTTCACCTCAGCTTAAGCTTGAGCAGGCGGTTAATTAATCTTGGAAAAGAAGGGAAAAAAAAACACGAACTCGAACACGGGAGTATTAGATTGGACAGAAATTAATTCCTGGTTATTATTTATTAATTAAGAAGAGACTGGCTGGAAGAATAATGAACTTGAGAAGTTCACTCTCTAGGCCGCCAAAAAAGAGGCATGGGAGGATATCGCGAGAATATAGTCAGGATCATGGTTAGGAAGCCCAACTAAAAAGCAAATGATAGAGACTATCATGACATGGGAAATTATATGGAGTATATATGTCAAAAAAATATGGGCAGGAAGCCCACCTGGAAAGGAGATAACAAGAACTTTATATACATTAGGTTGGCAATAGTCCCTGGCATAGACCAGGTCGTTCTCTCTTCAACCCAGTCAATTGAGTCTCGCGAAGGCTTGTTGTGTTAGGGCCTGTTCGTGTTTCATTGTATGTAAAAAGCAAATTGTATGTAAAAGCAAATGCATCAGGTCGCTTTTCATGTCCAGTCTATCTACAATAAATCAATCAATGCCATAGCCCGTTCATAACATCCGAACACCAGAGTCAAACAGGCGTCATATGCAAGAGAAAAAAAATACGCAGAATTAAGGTATCCCTTCAAGAAAAAAAAATACCCAACAAACATAATTGATGCCAGACATGCTCGCATCTATGCCGCCTTCTCAGCCTTCTTCTTTTTCTTCTCTTCCTTCCGGGCTTTCCGTTCTTGACTGGTTTCGTCCTTGTGCTTATGAGACTTCTTGTGCTTGTGGCTGCTGTCCTTGCGACTCCGTTCTTCCTGCGCATCTTGAGAAGTTGCTTGCGACGATGCGACGGGATCCGTTTGAGATGATTGCAAGTCCTGCGAGGAGGAATGTTTCTTCGATTTCTTCCGCGCGGACCCGTTCATGTCCGTCTGTTTCCCACTATCCTCTATGGGTAGGTTCTTTCTCTTGCGCTCTTCATGCTGGTTCTTCAACCTCTCTGGAAACTTGAACTTTGGCTCCTCCGCCTCCGACTCCGAGCTCGTCCCGATCGTCTCCGGGGGCCCATATACACTTCCAACGGGACGGAAGCGCATCTTCATATGCTTAGGTTGCTGTCGTGGAGGAGCGTTACTTGACTCCTGTGCTGCTGTCGGCGGAACGAGCGAACCACTAGGCAGGCTGACTAGCTCCTGAACGTGGTAACTCGGGATGTTTCTGACAGGCGCGCTCTGATATGTACCCGTCTCTTTATTGTAGAGCAACAGTGCCTGTGCGCCGTGTTCCTGCTGCGATTCCGTCGGAATCCCGTAGTCGACTCCTTTGTAGTTCAGGACCGGCTCGCCACGCATGACCTTTGCTAGGGACACCTCTCGAACCGCTGAGAGCGGTAGGAATGCTGGAGCTGTAACGTGGAAGACTTGCTTCCCTTGCAGATTGGATAGGAGAGACGAAACCGACGACGACGGTGGAGACTGTTCCTTGACGCGTTTGAATCCGGACGGTGGCTTGAAAGCCTTGGGAGGAGCAAATGATAGATTAGATGATGATCTATAGACAAAAGTCAGTATCAAATGACTTTCCTGCCGACTGCTTAATTCGTACTTCTTTTCTGAGGAATCGGATTTCTCGTCTTCGGTATCAGTCGTACTCGAGCTATCATCTTCGCTTTCCAATCCAGAACTTGCAGAACTTGCAGAACTCGAATCGTCCGTTTCTGATGCGCGCTTCCCATTTGACTCCTCCGGGGATGATTCTGCGGAACTAGATACGCTGTCGGAAGACTCTCCGCTATCAGACATAGCGTCGTCGCTCAATCTTTTACCCATTGTGAATGCGCTGAGGGCAACGTGCAAATGCAGTCCCTGCTCTCGTTGGAAGCGGAATTACTTCAAACAAAAAACGTGGGACACGAACGGCGACAACCCTCGAAATCACTGTTTGTGAACTAGATATGAACAACAGAATAAACTGAAAAATTATAAGATTAAATCTGGAAATGTTTCGTCGTAAGAAGGCAGAGTCGCCTTGCAGCTTGAATTGCGGGCAACTTTTTTCTGTTCCGCGAATGCACGGACCACCTTCCGCAGCTCGACAAGATTATCTCCGATAAAATGTGTAGAGCTCCGCCGCGCTGCTGCTAGCAGATTTGACAAGAACCTACGGCAATGACAATTGTCTTTTGCATATTATTTTGAAGGAAGGGGCAGTCGCATTTGGGAGGTCATGAAGAGAAAGGCCGAGAAGCAGCAGGAAGCTGGTAAATCCCCTCTTGTCGCACCCCGCGCCACGCAATGGAAAATCTGTACATGTATAACTAATTTGGAAAATTACCAGCTCCGGTCAGCGCTGTCAGTGCTGTCAGTGCGATTGCAGCACGAAGGGCTCAACTGCAGCAGAGTCAGATACCTCCACTGCAAAACACGAACTCCGCTCCCGAGTCAGATGAGGAACCTCCGGCGAAGAAAGCGCGGCCGTCCCCTGCCCGAGAGACGAACGGACGACAGGAAGTCACTCCGAAAAAGGGATCAAGAGGGAAAAGTGGACAACAAGCAACAGTAAAAAGCGCAGAAAAAAAGGTCGAATCCACGCCGCAAACACCAGATCTCTCATCTGCCAGGGTGACTGCTAGTGATGTCTCCGATGAAGAGTCGGAAGAATATACCAGCGCCATATCTGATGGCGGCGAAGAGAATGAGACCGGTCTTAGCGGTGAAGATGAGCAGGGGTAATGATTATCGTATCCGTCCGGTAGAGAAGTTTGGTCCTGACTGCTTCCAGCTTCGAATCGCCCTCCAATGTGCCCGAAGAGATCGAGAATTTCACGCTCTCAAAGACCCGTCTGAACAAAACCAATGTCGTCTACAGCGATGAGCGCGTGCTTTGCGTTCGCATAAAAGAGAAGATGGTAGGATATATCTTGGATTCTACTGGAGTAAAAGGCTTACGGTCGTCTAGAACCTTGTTCTTATCGGAGTATACGACATTTGGGTCAAGAGAGGTGTGATCAGCTTGATGGGCGCAAAGCTTCATCCCTCCCCCAAGCTGTACCGAGTGTACGCGCCATCAACACATTCCCTTCCCGTGATCAAGTGCGTTTCCGGGGTTGAAGGGTATGCGGAAGTTGAGATCCAGTCCAGCCACAGTGGCATCTACCGCCTAAAGGAGTTGTCGCCGCTATATCATCGAATATGGAACAGCGGTGAGACTGCTGCGGATAAGGTGACACTGAAAGGAAGCTCACGACGGACATTTTCAGTGGTATGTTATTATTGCGCTTTGTCTCAACGGATGTTTGAACCATTGGTTCTAACTTAATGCAGCTGTATACTTCGTCGGATGACCCTCTTAAACGCCATCTACGACCCCTGCATCTGGAGAAGAAATGGAGCGCAACCATTAAAGTCCTGTCGCAACGAGGAAGCAGCCTGAGAGTGTTGATATGTGGGCCCAAAGGGTCAGGCAAATCAACTTTTAGTCGATACCTCTTGAACCACCTTCTCAGTCCAGCGCCCCAGACTGAGGGGGGATATAGTAATCCTGACGGAGTCGCTTTCCTCGATCTCGATCCCGGACAGCCAGAATTCTCTCCAATGGGAGAAATCTACCTGGCTCACCTGCGTGAGCCTACCTTTGGACCTCCTTTTTCACATCCCACGCTAGACCGCTCCAGCAACGGGAAAATTGTTCGAGCTCACCATATTGGAGCAAATTCACCAAAAGAAGACCCCGACCACTACGTTATGGCCGCAATGAACCTTATGGATCAATATCGCGCACTACTGGCAACCTATCCGCAATGTCCACTCATCATCAATTTCCCGGGATGGATATTTGGCCTGGGCCTGGAGGTGGCTATGTGGCTTGTCCGATCTCTAGGTCTCTCAGACGTTGTATACATGAGCGAGAAGGGGCCTTCAGAGGTGGTAGAGCCATTGGGTCACGCGGCTGGACAGGCCAGGGTTCCTTTGACAACACTGCCATCCCAACCAATAGATTACGTGACCAGGTCCAGCGCCCAGCTTCGCTCGATGCAAATGCAGTCCTATTTCCATATGTCACAACCAGACGGATGCCAGAATCCTATCTGGTCTGAGATCCCTCTTGCCTACAGCAAACCTATTCTCGTTGATTATGCGGGTCCACGGCAAGGGATCCTAGGCATTATGGTGCTTGGGAATCGGCACGATCCGGACTTATTGCGTGGTATTCTTGACGGGGCTATAGTCTCCATCGTCGCAGTCGAGAGCCTAAATGCCATTCCGGGTTATTTAAATAAGCCGGACCATCGCAGAAACGGGGCAGTTGAAGCGATTGACGCCGATGCAGAAGAGGCAGGCATGCTCGAGGACGAAGACCAAGACGACGTTGATAAAGATGTCGATATGTCTGACGTCACCGGTACAACACTCGCCCAACAGTTGAAGGAGTCGTTGGAGCCCAACATCACCCGCACATCTGGCGAAGATCTCCCTTACCTCTTTTTCGGAGCCGGGAGCTGTACGCCCCTGGATCCCAAAGGCTCTCGTTCCCTGGGCCTTGCACTTGTCCGCGCGATCCATACATCGAGTCGCAAACTCGAGTTAGTGACGCCTATCCCGAGTTCCAAGATTCTGGAGGCCCTTAAGCAGGGTCAGGGACTCGTCATCGTACGAGGCCAGCTGGATAACCCGGACTGGGCTATCAGCGAAGAGTACCATGCCGCTCGCGCGGCTGAGCAGCGGCATCTTTTGTCAGTTGCCCGAGCGAAGAAGCGCAAGCAGCAAGAGACAAACGGGAAAGATAGCGCGAATAATGAATCCGATCGGGAGCAGCAAAACGAATGTCGCGGCGGCTGCGGGAGCGAGTGCGACGTGCGAGCAAGGTGCCTTGGATGACGGTCGTCGATGACACTGGCCGTCGACACGCGGAGAGACGGCGACGAGAGAAGACGTTGTGGAAACTCAGCAAGAAGGCGTATACAGTGAGCGAGAGTGATCCGGATTGGTAGGGGCACTTTAACGACAGCCTTGAAGTGTTTGGTGTTTGTATATATAGATATATATGGGTCCTGTCCTCGGAAATCATTGACGGTTTGATCCTTGTATATTTGTTCTATCAGCCCAAGGGTACCTACCTAGGCACGCACATGTACATGGATATGAACCAGCAGGTTGAATTTCAAAAGAAATGTAGAACTTTGTCCCCTGGAAGGGAAAAAACGTGATTTTGCTGATCGGTCATATGTACTGGATATATTCAGTCGATAATGGATAGATATACCGCGCAGAAAATAATATCATGTGTCAGCAGAGAAATGAAGATTTCCGTAAATAAAGTAACAGGTTGGGGTATTCCAAGGATATCTCTTTCCCTCTTGGGAAATGAGCTTTTAATAATATGCCATTTACCGATACATTGTCGAGGATGGTATGTATGTATCCGATGACAAGATCTAGCAGTTATCATCACTTTACTTCGTCTCCTCCCACTGTACACCTACCCACTCCTCGCGCCAGCCTGCCACTCCCTCTTGCTCGGGTCCGCAATCGCCCGCGCACACGCCTAGAATTATCGTTCCCCACTCCATTCCACCGTCGTCCTTGCCGAGACCGATGCCCTCTCGGCCTTCTTCGAGCACGCTGATAGCATGCGGAACAAGCTGGAGCTCAAAGACACGTTCGCGGCCACAGTAGTTACAGCGAGGAATCTGATTCGCCGCAGAAATTTGTGAGGGATGCCGAGGAAACAGCTTCCCCACAGCGTCGGTGTTTGAGTACAGAAGAGGACTCCCCCGGAACTCATATCGTAGAACTTGTTCGGGATTATGCGACAGCCGAGTCAAAAAGCGGAGGAACGATTTGTCCAGCGACGACTCGAATGCGTCCTTGGAATCTGCTGCGCTCCCAGATTTGGACGTGTCCTCATCGTCAATGTTCGACACGGTTGCGTTAGCGGGAATTGTTGGTGTCGATGGGCGGGAAAGGGTCTCGTATTCGGCATCAAGGTAGTACTCTGGATAAGGAGATGGAAAAGCGGATTGCGGTGGCCAGGGCAGAGGAGGGCCCGCCGCAACAGGCGCTGGGGCCGGTTCTGGGGACGATAGACGCGCTTTATCGGCAAAAGTCTCTGAAAGATTGTTGACAGTCGAGCTCGACTGGTTTTGCGGTGGCTCTGCAGCAAGGGTGGACGGTGGTTGGGGCGGCGCAAACGGGTTGTTTGCTGGCGCAGATGAGTTCGAGGTCGAAAAGGGGTTTGCATTCGACGATAGGCTGCTGCTGGACGGGGCTGCTCCAAAGAGAGCTGCACCCAAGTCCTTCGCTGGAGCAGGTGCCGTCTGATGCTCTTGTTTTGCAGTATCTTCTTGCTTCTTTTCAGGTTGTGGTGAAGATTGAACCTTGAGCTTCCTGATCCCCCGCAGCGCTCTGATGCTTCCAGTCTTGCGGCTGCAAGCTTTTCGCGGGCATCCAAATATGTACAGTCTTCTCTCATCGTCAGGGAAATGTTCAGGTAAATCGCCATTCAACTGTAGCAGAAGTGGCATCGGATTGTTGCAGACCTTGCACTTGGCAAGGTCACCGGGAGGCGGGGTTCGTTCATCGAGCCATGTCTGCGGAGGTTTGTTACCGTTAGCAATTGTACCGCAAAAAGACCACCAGTGGATGAAGACATACCGGCCATCCACCAAGGTGACTGATCGTGTCATCTGTCGGTTCTGTGGTAGCGTAACCCAGCAGCACTCCAGTCTCGGTGTAGTCCCCCGCATCCTCGAGGCCCGAGGAGTCGCTGTCGTAAGGATCCATTGTGTGCGCAACCTGGAAAGATTTCCAAGAACTGGCCAAAAATTGCCCTTGACGACGCTTGATACTTCAGCGTCCAAAACAAGCCCAGCAACACCGATGTGTTGGGCAAAAAGCAGACAGCGACAATCACAGGCCGTCCGTAATTGTAAAAAAATCTTGCCCGATTGTCCGATAAGCGATACGGGCCACGGGGCAGGATGGGTCTAGTTCCGATATGGCTTAGCGTCCGCGTGCGCTTGGAGCTCTCGTGTCATGCCGGGACGATCCATCGATCCGCTCGCGCCTTCCATCAGTCGGTCCTTCCGAGCCAGGAGTGACATCCCCAGGCGAGCTTCTCAGGCATGGCTTCCTGTCCTGGCACTTGCCTATTGACGAATTGCTAATCGGACCTTATTGATCATCGCTTCTGGCTAGCGCTCGCTTGTCACCCCTGCATCGGTCCTGTATCTATAAATACCCTATTGACACCGCTTATTGCTGCGGATGTTGCCCAGTTATTGATCTTTTCATCCGTGAAGCCATAGCAATCCGTACCACACGTATATATATGTCTGCGCCCATTATCACATAGTTTGCGTCTACAAATACCAGACGCTCTTTTCAACAGCAATGTCGCCCACAAACAGTTTCCGTGCGTGGCTTGTCCACATTCTCCTTGTATTCTCGACGGCACTGCTTGCCGATGCAGATGACCAAGTCCCTCTGGGGATGGCATCTGGCACTGCTCCCCGCAGAGTAGCCATCGTTGGTAAGCATGACACTGCTACTCTGATAGTTGAACCTTTCCATAATATTCATGCTGAATGATCGTCCAGGGGCGGGCGCAGGGGGCTCGTCGGCTGCTTATTATCTCCGCCAATATGCGGACTACTTCCGAATACCCGTCAACCTTACTGTCTTTGAACGCAATCCCTATGTGGGTGGACGCTCGACGACAGTGAATGTCTTTGACAATGCTTCTTATCCAGTTGAACTGGGAGCCTCAATCTTCGTTGAAGTCAACTACAATCTAATGGATGCGGCCAAGAAGTTTGGTCTGAACCTTACCGGTGCCGGTCAAAGTCGCCCCAATGAAGCCGAGGAAATGATTGGGATTTGGGACGGCGAGCGCTTCGTCTACACACAGAGCGAGTCGTTAAGTTGGTGGAACATCGCCAAATTGCTCTGGAGATACGGATTGGCGCCCATCCGGACCCGAAATCTGATGAAGGATACGGTGAACAGATTTGTGAAGTTGTACCAACGGCCATATTTCCCCTTCTCGTCGCTATCCTCGGTCGCAGTCGAACTTGGACTTAATAAAGCCACGGCGGCCACGGGGGCTGAATTTCTCGAAGCAAATGGAATCTCCGCAGCGTTTTCGCGAGAAATAATCCAGGCCAGCACAAGGGTGAACTATGGACAAAATCTCGCCTTGATTCACGGGCTGGAGACGATGGTCTGTATGGCCACGGACGGCGCTGTCTTTGTGGAAAATGGAAATTGGCAGATTTTCGCGGGGATGCTGAATTCATCCCAAGCCAATGTCAATCTCAATACGGCGGTGACTTCCATCAAACGCAACAGCAATGGCACATTCACCGTCTCTCACGTACATGATAATCATTCTCCAGAGCAGTCTCTGTTCGATGATGTCGTGATCGCCGGTCCCTTCCAGGAATCCGGCATTGCAATCTCTCCACCTTTGGACCACGTTCCTGATACGATTCCCTACGTGACTCTTCATGTGACCCTCTTTTCTTCTCCGCACCGGTTGTCCCCACGGTTCTTCAACCTAGAAGATACAGAGGTGCCAGAAACCGTTCTGACAACTTTACCACAAGGTTTGGATCTTGGGCCTCGGGAGGATGGAGTTGGCCCGTCTGGGTTCTGGAGCATCAGTACGCTCGCGAAGGTACAGCCCCCGGCGGAGCATGAGGCGAGTGACACTCCGCAGGAGCATTATGTATATAAGATCTTCTCGCCGGAGCGGCCGACAGCGGAGTTCCTGGCAAGCGTGCTTGGTGTCGATGCGCCACAGGGTGCAGGCAACTTGACGATTGGCGATCTCCCGAAACAGGATATCAGTTGGTTTTATGAGAAGACCTGGCACTCTTACCCATATCTGTATCCACGACAGACCTTTGAACAGATCAGCCTGGCAAGCAACCTGTGGTATACTAGCGGCATTGAGAGCTTCATCTCGACTATGGAGACGAGCTCGCTGATGGGCATGAACGTGGCAGGACTAATGATTGAGAACTGGCTTGGGAGGCATGTTGAATGGAACCGTTGGACGAAGACGGACAGCACGGAGCTATGATGGAGCTGATGGAACTCGTCCAAGTATGCAGTTGTCCTCACACTAGGGAGAGAGCACGGTGTTTATCCAGCGGCTGAAAATGAGCCCAATATGGTTGGCAGTTCTGTTGGTCCGGAGATTTACTTTGGATGAAAGCATATCTATAGGATAAATGTATGCCTAGAATTTATTGCGGGTTCTACCATCTTTTCACCCTTATCATCAATTAACTTGTAAACTAAGGGGGTAAGTGCCAGCACCGCGAAGGTTAAAATTTACGGAGTAGGACCACAGCCGAGAGCTATGACGATTTCAAGCTCCACTGTGGGGAGCTGTGGCACAAACTCCATAGAACGCCCTGGTGCAGCTGACGCCAGTAATTATATAATAATCCTATAGATTCCAAAGGGGTGTGTACTATAGGTCCTCTGTTGCCTATCTCGGTCTCCTTGCTGCTGTCCCATGCAGCATGACTAGCGACCACTGCCTGTGCTGTATCGCAGTATTTCCGGGCGTATGTTTCGCTGACATAAGCAGGCATCATCCCCGGGTTTTGCCACATGTGATTGGCCCATACCTCGTGCATAATCACATGCAGCTCTTGCGATTGGCCAGCTCCACGCTTATGCCGTACGCATGATACATGCATTGCGGTCATGCGCATGATGGCGGCAGCCCAACCTTCGTCTCGCTGGCCGACACGACAACGCTTCCTGACCGTTCCCCCTGGAACCAGTTTAATTCTTCTCCTATCCATTCGATCTCATAGCAGTTGTTGTGGGCCACGTCGCTGATGCTCGTGACGATGGATGATGGGTGACGGTCTCTGGAGTCGATGGCCCATCGGAACCCACTGTGAATTACAGTTCTTCCCTTCCGGTATTCATTTTTCTGTGAGCCTCATCTCTCCGTCTGCCCTGGCGGCATCAGCCAGGTGGATAGCCAAGCTGACCTCCTGGACTGGTCCAGATGCTCCTGCACGGAGCTCCGCTTCATCTGCAGGACTTCCTTCCCATCGCCTGACTTCGGTCGTCGTGCTTGCTCCGGGTCTGCCTTGCCGTTTTGCCTTTCAACGTGACCCCTTCGACCGCTCTACGGTGTATCCTCAGGCGGTTCCGATATAGAACACCGTTTCCGGGTTTCGGTTGCGGCGTACAAGTTCTTTTGTTTCATCTCTACTGTTTTCCATAGGTCGCTTTTCACCGAGGATGCCGCACCCCGACGATGCGGGAAAGAGCCGCTTGGGCTTCAGGCTCAGCACACCGTCCAAGTCCCATCGTCGTATGTCCTCGAGTCGCATGCCTGAGCGCCTCAAGGACGGCGATGATGCCCACGAAGATGTGACCGCTCCGCCGAGGGACGCCAACGGCCGCGATGTACACTACATGAACCAATCCATTTTCTCCATGATAGCCGCCGCGGGTTCGAAATCCGACTTTCACTCCCGGTTTGATGATTCAAGTGATAGTGACGGTGGAGAGGCAGAGAAACCTGAAGAGGAATCGTCACGACGACCTACTTCGCGTTCTAAACCACAGAAAATCGAGAAGCCGACATTGGAGGTACCGGATGAAGATGATAAAGAGGAAGGGGAAGGTTCTGCAGAAGAAAGAGGCCGTGGGCATCGAAGAAGGATCTCAGACAGCAAACTGATGCGGTCAATATCGAAGTTCCACGCGAAGCATAGCAAGGGAAAGGAGTCGGTTGACAAAAGTCAGCCCGCCGCTCGTGATAAGTCGGTGTCTCCGTCGCCTGCGAGACTATCAGGCAGCATGACTCCACGGTCAGCGCCGGTGCTCAGTAGGATGATCGAAGCTCAGAGTCGATATGATCCTGCAGCTTCGTCAACGGGGACTGCAACTTCGACTGAGGAGGGAAATGGTGAGAAGAAGAGCAGCGAATCGGCCTCCACAAGCCTCCTGGCTACACGTCTAAAGGAAATCTTTGGATTCGACAGGCCTGAGCAGGTGATCGGGGAATACCCCTGTTGGCTGATGCAGAGCGCCTTGCTTCAGGGCTACATGTATGTCACAGAGGGGCACCTTTGTTTCTATGCATATTTGCCTCAGAAGTCCAATACGGCCGTCAAAACCGGATACCTGGCTAAACGTGGCCGCAAAAACCCAAAATATAGCCGTTACTGGTTCTCGCTGAAGGGCGACGTTTTATCCTACTACGCCGATCCTTCGAAGCTCTACTTTCCGAGCGGCCACGTCGACCTTCGTTACGGCATCAGTGCTGCCCTTTCGGACCAGAAGGATAAAGGAAACGAAGTCAAGGATTTCACGGTGACGACGGACAACCGAACTTACCATTTTAGAGCCGACAGTGCTGCCAGTGCGAAAGAATGGGTCAGGGCATTACAAAAGGTTATCTTCCGCTCTCACAATGAGGGAGGAAGGGTGAAAATATCCTTGCCTATCGAGAACGTTATAGACATAGAGGAGAATCCCATGATCGATTTCGCGGAAACGTTTAAGATAAGAGTAGTGGACAGTGGTGAGACGTATGCGATCGATGAGGTCTGTTTTTCCTGCTCCTGAAGATTGCGTGGCCAGTTGCTGACGTGTGTTCTCAGTACTTCTTTTCTTTCTTCAACTATGGCAAGGATGCTTTCAATGTTCTGAAGAATTTAATCAATGACACTCCTGCGCAACGTATTTCACAAGACCCTCTTGCAACCTTCGGGTTGAAGGGCAGCCCTGAAAGCTCGCGCCATCGGTCACGATCCGCGGATACCCACCAGCGTAGCAGCTCATCCGGACCATTCGTTGAGGCTGGCGCTGGTGACGCGGGTGGTGTTAGTGTGTTCAATGGACGAAGCGCTCACTCGAGGACGAAGAGTGATAGTAGATCACGCCGGAGAAGTGACGTTATGAGTCGCGCGAGTCTTGCACAAAGCCAACAAGACAGATCTTTGCAGGAGAAGCAGCATGACTCGTCAGACTCATTTGTCCAGTCTCTCGGACAAGGCACTGAGTCTTCAGTCATTCTACAGTCGACTACAGACACAGCCGAGTCTGCAAGCCAGATTCTGAACAGGAGTGACGTCTTCCGGTCTCCTACCATCCACAGATTACGATCAACTCCGTCTGCGTCGGAGGATACGGCGCGTTCTGGGCCAAGAAAGGTCAGCGTCGGCGATGTTGCGCCCCCAGGCTACTCTCTCGACGAGCTCTCTAGCAAACGGGATCAAGAGTCCCAGGGCGCGATCAGTGAGTCCGATCATGATGCACCGAGCAGTAGCAAGGTCTATGCTACTTCTACACCAACTTTGCAGGAGATTGTAAGAGCTGGAGCGTATCCGCTGCAGCGCGCGGCTGGATTTGCGGAATATATCAAGAGCCGATCCAGGCAGATGAGTAGTCTTTTGGCAAGCGAATCGATGGGATATATCGAAAAGGTCTCTGGCATGTGGACCGGTGGTGGGAGACATTATGCCGAAGGAGAAGGGTTTCACTCTGAACGATTTCTTGATCAGGAGGATATGGAACATAGCAGCTCCCATGGCGATCGTTTCCGTGCCCACTTCGCGCTTCCTTCCACTGAGAAGCTCCAGGCCACTTATTACGGATATCTTCACCGTGTCCTTCCTCTCTATGGGAAGATCTACATAGGCAGCACAAAGTTCTGCTTCCGGAGTCTCTTACCTGGAACTCGCACAAAGATGATACTGCCCATCAAAGAAATCGAGAACGTGGAAAAGGAAAAAGGGTTCAGGTTTGGTTACCAGGGCCTTGTTGTGATCATCCGCGGCCACGAGGAACTGTTCTTTGAGTTCAACACGTCGGACGCCCGAGATGACTGCGCGGTCACGTTGCATCAAAGCCTGGAGGCTGTTAGGTTCTTGGTCGAATCGAGCGTGTTGACCCAGCAAGAGAACGAAGAAGCAGATGCTGCAAAAGCCGAGCACCAATTGCTACAAGAAGCAAGACAAGATATATTAGATGAAGAGTCCCAGGAAGTGCATCCTATATTCGACGACCCTCGTGCTTCCATCATCAATTTCAAGCCGGCCGAGTCACTGAGGATCACCTGTCTCACAATCGGCTCTCGTGGTGACGTCCAGCCGTACATTGCGCTTTGCAAAGGCCTCCTGGCGGAAGGCCACAGACCTAAGATTGCAACACATGCGGAATTTGAGCCCTGGGTGAGAAAACACGGCATTGACTTCGCCCCCGTTGAGGGAGATCCGGCGGAATTGATGCGAATTTGCGTTGAGAACGGGATGTTCACGTACTCATTTTTGAAAGAGGCGTCGCTCAAATTCCGCGGTTGGATTGATGACCTGCTGTCTTCTGCGTGGAAAAGCTGCCAGGATAGCGACGTCCTCATCGAATCCCCGAGTGCCATGGCTGGCATCCACATCGCCGAGGCCCTCCGAATTCCATACTTCCGCGCGTTCACAATGCCTTGGACACGCACACGAGCCTACCCACATGCCTTTGCCGTTCCTGAGCACAGAATGGGCGGTGCGTATAACTATATAACGTATGTTATGTTTGACAACGTCTTCTGGAAGGCGATTTCCGGGCAGGTGAACCGATGGCGGAAGAAAGAACTTGGCCTGCGGGGGACAAATCTCGACAAAATGCAGCCGAATAAAGTTCCCTTCCTCTACAATTTTTCACCTTCGGTAGTTCCTCCCCCTCTTGACTATCCCGATTGGATTCGAGTCACGGGCTACTGGTTCTTAAATGAGGGCGCAGATTGGACACCCCCGCCGGAGCTGTCTGAGTTCATCCAGCGTGCACGTCAGGACGGAAAGAAGATTGTCTATATTGGGTTCGGATCGATTGTCGTTTCGGATCCTGCCGCCTTGACGAAGACTGTGGTTGAGTCAGTTCAGAAAGCTGACGTCCGCTGCATCCTGTCCAAGGGCTGGTCCGATCGTCTCGGCGATCCAACGAGTACTAGACCGGAAATTACTCTGCCACCCGAGATTCACCAGATCCAGGCCGCTCCGCATGACTGGCTGTTTACTCAAATTGATGCTGCCGCGCACCATGGAGGCGCTGGAACGACTGGAGCCAGTCTTCGCGCCGGTGTACCGACGATCATCAAGCCATTCTTCGGTGATCAGTTTTTCTTCGGAGCTCGTGTCGAGGATTTGGGTGTGGGAATCTGCATGAAGAAGCTGAATGTCAGCGTGTTTTCGAGAGCGCTCTGGGAGGCAACACATAGCGAGCGAATGATTGTCAAAGCACGACGACTGGGCGAGCAGATCCGCAAGGTAAGTCTTATATTTTGATCATGTAATCTTGAAGAACAAAACTTACTGACATTCTTCTCAGGAAAACGGTGTGGCAAATGCTATCCAGGCGATATACCGGGACCTTGAATACGCCACAACTCTGACTCGTCAACGCTCCGCTGTGTCATCTACTCCGTTTACTCCTTCGGGCACTGACGAGAAGACAGTTACGGAAGATGACTTGGAAGACATTGAAGAGACGTGGACTTTCGTTGATGATGTCACCGACCCTGATCTCTCCAAGAAAGGACGCGGAATGGATCACGAAAACAGTGGTGGTCAATCGCAGGACAGGTCCCAAACCCGCCCAGCTGATACATCCTTGGCCTAGCAGCGGCGAAAAAGTGAAGCGGTTCAAGCTAGAATCTGAGTTGCTATTACTCCAGTGGTGCAGCTCCCGTTGCAGGCGATTCCTGGACGATATTCCACGACCTACTTCTCTCGCGCTTCTCGCCTCTGAGTTTTCCCCATATTTTTCTTTCCCCTGTCCGTTCCCTTTCGGCGTTTTCCCAATTATTGATGTTGGTTACGAATGAGAGACGACACTGGCGTAATATGGATGCGGCGCGAACGATGACTCAGATGCAGAATACGATGCTATGATTTCTACATGCCTGGTTTGACCCTACTCCCTCTACTTTGAGGGATCGTGATGATAATGTCTTGTCCGACTCTGGCATCTGATGACGGCATTGTCCATAGTTTTTATGTCATATGGGGACTAGATTGTTTTCTTTTTGTTTTTGTATTTCTGCATTTTTTTTGTTATCTTGACTGGACATGGTTTTCAGATACCAATATAATGTTTACGCGGGTCATGAGCATTGAAATTCTGCTGGCCATCCTTCATCAAGTATCACCTAACGCGGATGATACTCATTTGGTCTTCGTAAGAGCCTTAAGAGGGCTCCGATGTTGTCCGATTGTTCTCTTTAGGCGCTGCCAAGACTCACATTAAAGTTAGCGCGGACGATAATGACAGGTCACAGCGGTGACTCGAGCAAGCAAGCGTTGGCGCGGGGCAGATCCGATCGGCGGAACAAAAAAAAGGACAGAAAGAGAATAATAGAACGACCACGTGGAAAACGTTCGATACTCTGTTTTGTACACCAGGAGATGGTACTAATTAACCAATTATAGTAATATAGTTTACAGAGTACCCTCACTTTAGGTAATCCACTTTCTTGCAGCCAGTTGACAGCGGAGAGTGGGAGCGGGGCAAAGAGCGGAGGTGATCGGAGCCTGACAACTCCAGAATCCAGAGAGATGGCCTGCAGATTTCCGGGAACGGCCAGAAAGAGTCACCGGCGGGACAAGCACCCTGGTACGCGGGCCCCGACTCCCGCCCTCTTTTTTTTCTTTCTCCAGTCAATTCTTCTTGCAAAGCTTTCGCCTTTTTTATCTGCTTTTCATAGTCACCGACTCTTATTGCCTTTCCTCTTTCACATATCTGTCTTTTGTCACCAGGCTTCTTCTGTAGAAAAAGGAAGGGCAGAGAGATACAATCACCAAAATGGCTACCTACGCTCTGTCGCAGTCCCATCGGGAGGTAAGTGCTCGTTCCAAAACAATTGGAGTGCAAATACAACAATGGTACTGACTAGAGTCGTTTAGTTGATGGAGAAACACCTGGCGGAGCTGGATCCTGAGGTTGCGGAGATTATGGTAGGTGCTCTTTTTCACTTCCTGGTTGAAAATGCCAGTGACTCATCGCTGATTGTTGGTCTCCCACTCTAGCAAAAAGAGATCCAGCGTCAGCGAGAGTCCATCATTCTCATTGCTTCGGAGAACGTCACTTCTCGCGCTGTCTTCGATGCCCTTGGGTCTCCTATGTCCAACAAGTACTCTGAGGGTTACCCGGGCGCTCGCTACTACGGAGGCAACCAGCACATTGACGCCATCGAGCGGACCTGCCAGGCTCGCGCTCTGCATGCCTTCCGTCTGGACCCTGAGAAATGGGGCGTCAATGTTCAACCGCTCAGCGGTAGTCCCGCCAACTTGCAGGTCTACCAGGCTCTCATGCGCCCGCATGATCGCCTGATGGGATTGGATCTGCCTCATGGTGGCCATCTGAGCCACGGTTACCAAACCCCTCAGAAGAAGTCTGTTTTCCCTTTGATCCCCGGAGAAAAGTCCCAATTTTCCCCGAGCTGACCTGTATGCTTCAGGATCTCTGCAGTGTCGACCTACTTTGAGACCTTCCCTTACCAAGTCGACCTCGAGACGGGCATCATTGACTATGACACTCTTGAGAAAAATGCCCAGCTCTACCGGCCCAAGATTATCGTAGCTGGTACTTCGGCCTACTGCCGTCTCATAGACTATGCGCGCATGCGCAAGATCGCCGACTCTGTCGGCGCCTACCTGGTTGTCGACATGGCCCACATCTCTGGGCTGATCGCGGCTGGTGTCATCCCCTCCCCGTTCGAGTACGCCGATGTGGTGACTACGACGACGCACAAGTCGCTCCGTGGTCCCCGTGGTGCCATGATCTTCTACCGTAAGGGTGTGCGGAGCGTCGACCCCAAAACCGGCAAGGAAACCTTGTACGATCTCGAGGGTCCCATCAATTTCTCTGTCTTCCCGGGCCACCAGGGAGGCCCCCACAACCACACCATCACGGCTCTGGCGGTGGCTCTTAAGCAGGCGGCCACTCCAGAATTCCGGCAGTACCAGGAGCAGGTGCTGAAGAACGCCAAGGCTGCTGAGTTCGAGTTCAAGCGATTGGGCTACAAGTTGGTGTCGGATGGCACTGACAGCCACATGGTCCTTGTGGACCTGCGCCCGCAGGCACTTGATGGTGCTCGAGTCGAGGCTGTTCTGGAGCAGATCAACATCGCCTGCAACAAGAACTCAGTTCCCGGGGACAAGTCTGCGCTGACGCCCGGCGGTATCCGGGTTGGCACACCGGCCATGACCAGCCGGGGTCTGGGTGAGGAGGACTTCAAGCGCGTGGTTCAGTACATCGACCAGGCGATCAAGATCTCCAAAGAGGTCCAGAACCAGCTGCCGAAGGAGGCGAACAAGCTCAAGGACTTCAAGGCCAAGGTTGCCTCGGACACGGTCCCTGAGATTGTGCAGCTGCGCAAGGAGATTAGCGAGTGGGCCAGCACCTTCCCTCTGCCTGTTTAAAGGATACCTTTCAAGACGTTTTTCCTTTTTTTTCTCTTCCCATTTTATTTTGACCTAGGCGTTTTATGAAAGTTCAACCTGACGATTTTTCCTTTTTTTTTTGTCTTGTTCGGGAAGCGGATATTATACCTACGATTAAAGGGGCCGGTGATTGATTTGAGGGTTCATCCCCACAAAAGTTCTGCATGTATTTTTCAACATCTCATATGGGATTCTTGCGACATGGGCATGGGCAATACTAGCACCGTGATGGTCATCTTCAACAGTATGTATGAGAACTTCAACGTTTCAATGCATCCGGCGCAGTGGTTTCATTATCATACAAGATTTGTCCTTTCTCTTCTTTTCCTTTGCTTTTCTCTGGGTTCTGGGTTTCGCTGGACCTTCTCCCACTTTTCGTGGAGTGGTTTGGTCTGTAGGTCACTTCGAACATCCACATCATAGCTAAGCAGCGCCATTTCCACCCTCTTTTCGTCTTTGTGTCGTGTGTATTCTTCATAGGGACATGGTCCCGAGGCTTCTTATTGCCAACTTATTTCGTACGAATCATAGTTGCCGCAAAATATGCCGCAATGCGGTCTGTACCGGACAAGACGGCTGGCCACTTCGGTCCCTGTTCTGAAGCATCATTCCCAGGGTCGTAAGGGATCGCTGGCCCTTGTCCTCAAGAGATTAATTCCGTCGCATTGAAATTTATTGGATCGCATCTCGCCAATTGTGGATGGATCTCAAGGTCCTGTCTCCATCTTGTCGGTCTGGTCCATTCCAGCCCTTCGCCCAAACTCCGCAATAACCGCTCTCAGCCGTCCAATGCGGTCCTGTAACTCATCGATTTCCTGCTGCTGTTCCTCGACGGTCCGCGACACGTCAGGGAGGCCCTCGATGACGGCGCGCGCCTTTTGGATGCGGATCTTGATGGCACTGGCGGCCGTGGGGAGGTCCTTGACGTCTAGGGGAGGAGGCGCATTGGGACCCAGCAGAGAGGTGTCTGCCGTAGCGGATGACGTCGTGGGAACGGTCGTTGAAGGAGCGGGTTGCTGCGACGCTTTCGCATCTGGCTGCTGTTGCGGTTGCGCCTGTTGGCTTTGTTGCTGCTGAGCTTGGCTGGGCGTGGTTGAAGGACCCGACGATGCTGCTGCAGCGGACGGGCCAGCGCCCGACGCGTCGCCTGCTGCTTCGGGAGCTGCTGTGGAAGCTGTTGCCGCCGCTTGGTTGGTCACCTGGGCTGACGCCAGCAGTCGAAGCAGCAGAGCGTGCAACGGAGGAAGGAAATCAAAGGTCTGTGGAGACGGGAAAGGCACTGTACGCGGAGATGTCGGGACTGCGCCTGGGGTCTCGGGTGCGGAGGAGCCCTTGGGCTGGGATGCGGCAGAAACCGGGGACTTGGACGCCATAGAGGGTGGATGGTGATGTTGGTAGTGTTGCAGGTAACAGGACGACTGACAGTCGCACGAACCGGTCGGTGAGAGTTACGGATGAAGGATGGATCTTGATTTTTTTGGCCTGTCCCGGAGTAGCCTGCGTATCCAGGCGAGTACTGTCCTGCAGTAGATGATCTCGCCCAAGAACTCTTGCAGAAGCAAGGAATGAAGATTCGTAGGAAGAGATCGGAACGGGACTCGGTTTCTCGGGTCAGGGGAACAACAGAACAGGAGCTACCTAGCAGCAGCAGCACAGGCGACCATGAAGGTCGTGAGTTGACAGTCCTGGATTTCAAACTAGCGCCGGACTCTGACGTCGGTGATCAGAAACAGTCAATCCGGGCCACTGCCAAAACGGGCGCCGGTCTGGCACTTGCTGCCCCTCGATTCCCCTCCACGGCCCTCCATTTTTTCATTTCCTTTTTTACTACACCGCAACACGCAGTGAGCTGCCGGGCTTGTCTATCTGTCTGTCTGTTAGAGATCCCAGAAGACGACGACATCTGGCTTCGCGCAATTGAATAGAATATACATACACTACATACACTTCTCCCTGCCATCTATACCCCGCCATGGCTAAGGTCGACCACAAAGTCGCCCTCAGTATGTTCTTTGCCACCCCTGTTCTTTCCTCATTTCCTGCGAAATTAAATTGACTAACCTGAAAACTTCGTTCATAGTTGTCATTGACGGTTGGGGAATCCCCGGCCCCAACTCTCCTCCCGAAGGCGATGCGATCGCAGCCGCCGAGACCCCCGTCATGTCCTCCTTTGCTGACCCCAACGCCAAGGTCGCCCAGGGCTACACGGAGCTCGATGCTTCGTCCCTCGCGGTTGGCCTGCCGGAAGGTCTGATGGGCAATAGTGAGGTGGGCCACCTCAACATTGGGGCTGGCCGTGTCGTCTGGCAGGACAGCGTCCGCATCGACCAGACCCTCAAGAACGGCAAGATGAATGAGGTCGAGAACGTCATCAAGTCCTTCAAGCGTGCCAAGGAAGGCAATGGCCGTTTGCACCTATTGGGTCTGGTTTCCGATGGTGGAGTTCACTCGAAGAACACCCATCTGTACGGTCTGCTGCAGGTCGCCAAAGATTGCAGGTTCCCAAGGTCTTCATCCACTTCTTCGGTGATGGCCGTGATACGGACCCCAAGAGCAGTGCGAAGTACATGCAGGAGCTACTCGACAAGCTGAAGGAGCTGCAGATTGGCGAGCTGGCCACTGTCGTGGGTCGTTACTATGCTATGGACCGCGACAAGCGTTGGGACCGAATCGAGGTCGCTATGAAGGGTATTGTCCTTGGTGAGGGAGAGGAGAGCACCGACCCTGTTAAGACTATTGAGGAGCGCTACGCGAAGGGAGAAACCGATGAATTCCTGAAGCCGATCATCTTGGGCGGCAAGGAAAACCGGGTTCAGGGTATGATCGACCCTTCAGCCTTCAATTGACTTAAATTACTAACCCTTGAAAACTTTAGACGGGGACACCCTCTTCTTCTTCAACTACCGTTCGGACCGTGTCCGGGAGATCACTCAGCTGCTGGGAGACATTGACCGCTCCCCCAAGCCCGATTTCCCCTATCCGAAGGACATCCACATCACTACCATGACCCAGTACAAGACGGACTATCCCTTCCCGATTGCCTTCCCGCCACAGCACATGGGCAACGTGCTGGCTGAGTGGCTTAGCAAGAAGGGCTTGAAGCAGAGCCATGTCGCGGAAACGGAGAAGTACGCCCACGTCACTTTCTTCTTCAACGGTGGTGTGGAGAAGCAGTTCCCTGGAGAGGACCGGGACATGATCCCGTCGCCCAAGGTTGCCACCTACGACCTTGACCCCAAGATGAGCGCCGCTGGTGTTGCTGAGAAGGTCGCTGAGCGCATTGCGGAGAACAAGTACGAGTTTGTTATGAACAACTTTGCGCCTCCTGACATGGTGGGTCACACTGGTGTCTACGAGGCTGCTATCCAGGGTGTGGCGGCCACGGACAAGGCCATTGGTCACATCTTCGAGGCTTGCAAGAAGCATGGCTACATTCTGTTTGTCACTGCGGACCATGGGTAAGTTTCATCCAGCCTGGGAGCAATTGGCTGGTATACTGACTGGGTGCAGAAACGCGGAGGAGATGCTCAACGAGGAGCGCAAGCCTAAGACCTCCCACACGACCAACAAGGTTCCTTTCATTCTGGCCAACGCTCCCGAGGGCTGGAGTCTGAAGAAGGAAGGCGGCGTGCTGGGAGACGTCGCCCCGACCGTTCTGGCGGCCATGGGCATTGAGCAGCCTGAAGAGATGAGCGGCCGCAGCCTGCTCATCCGGCCATAGATATTTTCTTTCTCCATTTCCCCTTCACTTTTCAGTTTCTTTTAAACATCTTTTGAGAGACGAGAGAGACCCTATCTTATCGCAAGAAAGCGAAAGCCTTCTCTTCTTTTTCCCTATCTTACCTATTTGATGACCGGTGTATGTGATGAACGCATGAAATGATTGATTAATTAATAAGAGAACGGTTGGGAGTTGGTTAGCTGGGGTTGTTCGTGTCAGGGGTGTTATACAGAACAGATGTAGTAATAGACAACTCCCGTAGACAGGATGGGATGAAAACGAACGATGAGACGACGAAACTTTATCTATCTAGAGCGGAAAGTAGGAATCCCGACGCAGTGTTCTATTCTATTGTCTTTTAGATAAACTCTGCAATTCAATTCAATATGTCTAGATATTTTCATACCGTGTGCTCTGTATGGTATTAGATATAATATTCCAGTACTGATCCAGCGCAGCTGGATGATATGTCATCTAACTAACTAGCTGCTAGCTGCCAAGCTCCATCTGCAGCTCAACGCACACATCTGTTATCTATCCATTAATATCTTTCTTTAGCCGGTCCAGGTACGAGCAGGTAGGACTCCTTTCGCCTGTATGGTCTGACCTGCATCGATTCCCCAGTCGGCTTCGAATGAACGAACGAACGAGGTCCAGCGCGTTGGTTCGTTCAGACTCCGTTACAAACCCCGTTCGAGAGCCTTTGACAGGTTATTTGTCTCTATCTTCGCCATTTTCTTTCTTCTCCGTCTTCTTCTGACTTCTTTTCCTCTCGAGAGACCAGAAGGCAGTGACCAGCTTGGGTTCGAGCCAACCTGCTACTGCCTGGCTGTCCGGTGATAGATAGTCCCTCCACTTTGCTCCTCAGATTTAGTGTATTGGCATCATATTCTTTTTCTTCATTGTGATTCAACCCTGTTCGGAAAAAGTCGTCCTTTAAGATCAAGATGATGCAGAAGCAGTCGCCGCTGCGGCTTGCTGCTGTAATTTGGTTTGAAATTGCACAATCTAGAGTGGAATTGTTAATCGATCGAGACGTCCTTGGGGAGTCGGGCGATAATACGGCAGACATACCTCTGCCCGCTTCTTTTCACTCTTGCTCTGGATTTCTGAGATTTGCGACTCGATCCGTTTACTACCAATCAAAAAAAAAGGTGTTGTCAGCCGATAAATCCCATACCTAAAAGCCTGCAGCCAAGGCTGGTCCGTATGTGTGCTGCTTGGTATATAGGAGCTTACATCTCTTTCTCAATAAATTCTAGACGGCCGTCTACAGCCATGACGGCTTCGGTCTTATCTTGCTTCAGCAGGACGGGTCCGACCAGCTTGTAGATGTTCGCATCCTCCTCGAGATTGGCGAATTCCTGGTTTCTCGTTAGAAAATACCGACCAAATATGCCGTTGTAATAACCATCTAGGAACGGGGGGAAAATGGTCTTTTCCTCTCTGCAGGACGTTTTACTTTACCTTCTGCACTCCTTTGTTCTCTTGCAGCTGTGACTCAAGCTTCTGGCGCGCCTCGACATTATTCTCAAGCTCTGCGCGGTAATCATGATCAGTCAGTGAGTGAACAAAGTTAATACCAACGAGTTCGAGTCATACCAGTCTGTAGCTTCTGATACTCGTCCGACAGCTGCTGCAGATGCTTCTGCGGGTCCTCCATGGCGTATACCTCTCTGCTCTAGGATGCGTTGAGAAGAACTGGTGGTAGATGGTATGAATCGGCAGCGTCTTTCATCAGTCTGTGTCTTCAGCGCTAGCGGGGCAACCAAACCCCTCGGCCGTCCTGCCGCCGGCAAGAATCAACACCGCCAGTAAACACCCGTTTCTTGCCTGTCGTCTCTTTGCCCGTCAACCTCCAAAGAAAACCACCTAAAGACAGGCATCCACCTCCTCTATAACTTGCATACTTTGCCGGTCGCATCCATTCTCGCCATCCGTGCCCGCCCGCTTTGTGCGTCCTGCGTCCCGACCACAACGTCCTGCCTAGCGGCGATCTTTCGGAGACCCGCTCCCCACACCGAGCCCAGTCAGCTCCTTGTCAGTCACTTCCTCGCGACTTTGCTCCCGCGTCGACATCTACTTCCATATACCTCAGAAAGAGTGATCTAGAATGAGTAATACAGACTTTCTTGGGCGGGCTATCGACACGGTCAAGAAGGCCATCGACCACGACAATGCGGGCGAGTACGAGAAGGCTTATCAGCTCTACTACTCCGCACTGGAGCTATTCATGCTCGCGCTCAAGTGGGAGAAGAACCCCAAGTCGAAGGAGATGATCCGGGCCAAGACGGGCGAATATATGGACCGCGCAGAGAAGTTGAAGAACCACCTGGCCAACAGTGAGAATCGAAAGAAACCGAGCGCTGTGAGCGCGAATGGCAAAGTGGCGCAGGGGAGTGGGAAGGCGTACGTGGATCTTTTTCTTTGCTGGTTATTCTGTGGTTCTACAGTGTGAGAGTGGATTGCTGATGGATCTGCTTGTTCTACAGGAAGGAAGACGACGACAGCGAAGACGCTGAGGCCAAGAAGCTGCGAGGCGCCTTGCAGGGAGCGATCTTGTCAGAGAAGCCCAATGTTCGATGGGAGGATGTCGCAGGCCTCGAAAGTGCCAAGGAGGCACTCAAGGAGGCCGTCATCTTGCCCATCAAATTCCCACACTTGTTCACCGGCAAGCGACAACCATGGAAGGGGATATTACTCTACGGGCCTCCGGGAACGGGAAAGTCGCACCTTGCCAAGGCAGTCGCTACGGAAGCCAACAGTACATTCTTCAGTGTCAGCAGTAGTGATTTAGTGTCGAAGTGGATGGGTGAGAGCGAAAGGTTGGTCGGAGACTAGGCCTCTTTGATGTTTCTGCTGATCATTTTCTAGACTGGTCAAGCAATTGTTTACTATGGCCCGAGAAAACAAGCCGGCCATCATCTTCATCGACGAAGTTGACGCGCTGTGTGGACCACGAGGAGAAGGGGAGTCTGAAGCGTCCCGACGGATCAAAACCGAACTACTTGTGCAGATGGACGGTGTGGGCAAGGATTCGAGAGGCGTGCTGATTCTGGGCGCAACCAATATTCCCTGGCAACTCGACGCAGCAATCCGACGACGATTCCAGCGACGGATTCACATCAGTCTCCCTGACGTCAACGCACGGATGAAGATGTTCATGCTGGCCGTGGGCTCCACTCCGTGCGAGTTGACGCAAGCCGACTATCGACACTTGGCAGAGATTAGCGAGGACTTTTCAGGCAGCGATATCAGCATAGCAGTCCAAGACGCTTTGATGCAACCTATCCGCAAGATTCAAACCGCAACACATTACAAAAAGGTGAGTTACTACGGCAATGTTTTGTGTTGTTGCTGGGTATCTATGGGCAAAGTTCACTAATTTACCTCCATGCAGGTTATCGTCGACGGAGTGGAGAAGCTCACACCGTGCTCACCTGGCGACCCCGGTGCAATGGAGATGTCCTGGATGGACATAGAGTCTGACCAGCTCCTGGAGCCGCCCCTCGTACTGAAGGACTTCGTCAGAGCTATCCGCAATTCTCGACCGACGGTCAGCCAAGAAGACCTCGAAAAGAACGCAGAGTGGACACAGATGTTTGGCAGCGAAGGACAGTGACAGATCTGTTTAGACGATTCTCCTTTTTCCTTTCATCTCTCTTTGCTCGTCTGAGTCCTTTTCCATTCAACTTTCGGGTGACATCATCATGGGGGGTAGAATATAAGAAAAGCGACCGATTTTTGATAATAATTGAACAGAACATGGCCGGGTGATTGGCGGTGGTTGATAATATGAAGTATGCAATGCGTCTATAGTCTTCTTTTTTTATTCTCATGCTTGGTATTTACAGTGTTTGCGCTTGTTGTGTTCGGGAAGGGCGTTCCTTCTGGCTATTTCCTTTACCTCTGGTTTTTTTTTAATCTCTTGTCTAAAAAAAGTCCATATCCTTTCTGACCTGACCTGTCTTGTTGTCCCGTGCCAGCCTCGGCCTGTTTTTGAAACCTACTTACACTATCGTAATTATGTATGCATATACATACATACACTCATACACCTACACATTCTCGTTGTCTTTTCTCTCGGTTTGGTCTGGTCTGGTCTGGTCTGAAGTCAGCGGCAACCGGCCACCTGTCACCTCTTTTGAAAGCATCGTCATTTATTTATTTATTTGTTTGTTTGTTGATCGACCGACATTACCTACCTAGTGATTGATTGGAATACGATTAGAAGAAAACAAGGCAAGACATATCCATGGAATTCACCTTTTTGTAGTATCTCTGTCCATTCTTGCAGGGTCTGTGAAGTTCTTCTATCGCTGAGAAGAATAGCTGTCGCAGGTGCAGGTATGTAGATAGGCAGGCAGGAAGGGGAAAAAAAAGAAGGAAGGAAAAAAAATAAGGAGATAACCAACGGATTCGATTCAGCATCCAGGTATATAACACAGTAACACAGAAGACAGCTTGTTTTGCCCCAGGCAAAGAAAAGAAAAAGGCAAAAAGCAAACCTCCATGGAACAGACATACATGATGAACCAAACCCCCTTCATGAATATTCGTGGCAGGTCAGAACCAGAACCAGAACAGAACAAAAAACAAAACATCCTTGGGAATCATCCTGACGAAGCAAGCAATCAATCAATCAATCATCAATCAACTCCAAACGAGACGGATCCAAAAACAAAAAGAGTACTCCGTACCCAAGGACAGAGAAAAAAAAGGACCAAACGGGAAATATCGAAGGAGAAAAAAAAAGGTAATGCGTCATGCCTATTTTACTGCAACTCCAGATTCTTCCCTTCTCATCTGGCTTTCTTTTCTTCGCAGCAGGACCTCGCTCTTTGCTCGTCGAAGTCCCTCGCCCAATTTTCGAGCTTTGCTCCATTCGTAGCTCATCCTCTGCATCCGCACCGTCGCTATGACAGCCAGGCTGGCCGTCCTGAGCTTCCGGCGTGCGTCGTGCAGTCTCTTCGACTCGGGCGCTTTGATTCCCATCTGAGCGATCATTCGGAGATCGGCCTCGTTGCTATAGGAGAGAACGTCGTTAGTAAACAAACTATAAAAGGTGACGATTTAAGCTGGTAAAAGATGGAGGGAGAAGGACACATACCAGGCTACCCGGACTCGCTCTCCCAGTTCCATCAAGCCCTTACTCCAGGCCAGATCTCGACGGAACCTCTCTTCTCGCTTGAGCCTCGCCCTGAGCCACATGATCTCCTTTCCTAGTCCGCGAATCTCTTTCTCGTGTCTTCCTTTGCGATCCGTCTTTGCTGTCAACTCCTCCATCGCTTGGTCGTATCGATCTTGGAGCATTTCGAGTTCCTGACTAGCAATATCCGCTCTCTTCAACGCCGAGGCACGCTCCTCACGGATCCTGCGCACCTGAGCTTTCAGTTCCTTTACCAGAGCGTCTCGTTCGGAGAGCTTCAGCGCCAAGGACTCGGCTTCGAGCGTTGAGGATTTCAACAGCTCGTGAAGATCCTTTCTATCTTCTTCTCTGATTGCATTACGCTCGAGTTCGCGATTCTTTGCCTTCAGATCGCTCAGATTCTTATGCGCCTCTGACAGCTTTTTCCGGAGGCTTCGCACTTCCTCTTGCAATTTGTCCGAGGGCGATGATCTGGGAGAATTTGTCTCAAACTTCTTCATCTGAACTTCATGGAGTTCGCGTTCGAGCTCTGCGATGCGAGTCTTCAAAGCGCGGGCAGAGGCTTTATGATCCGCTTCACGTTGGAGTAATGTCTTTCCCTTTTCCGAGCCTCGTCCAAGCTGTGACGCAGCATTGAAAGGTCTGCAGCGGCTGTTGAAGCTTCCGCATCCACAGGTTGCTGCTGATCCAAGAGGGTCTCAAGCTCGGAAACCCGTTTCTCGAGACGCTGCACCTTATTCTTGGCCATGGTTAACTCTCTATCTCGTCCTCCAGATGTTGCATGAAGCTTGTCTTGAAGCTGAGCGATCTCGTTTGTCAGTCGATTCTCTTCCTCTGTTGCTCGTTCAATCTCTGCATTGAGTTGGTTCTCTAGATTGTCCCTTGCTTCAACCAGGGACGTTTTTTCTTCTTTAAGCCGCTGGAGCTCATTTTCGAGACGAAGCTTCGATTTCCGAAGCTCGATCTTCTCCTGATCTACGCGGTGACTTCCATCTGCCTGAGACTGAACACGGTCGAGCTGGCTCCGAAGTTCATCACGCTCTGCTTCCGTCTCAGCGAGCGAGTTTCGGAGGTTATGCAACTCGACATTAGCATTTGCCAGCTGATCGCGCAGATTTTGCCTGTCATTCATGGCTTTCTGGAGCTGGGTCTCCAGGTCGGACGCGCCCTTTTTCAGCTGGTCTTTGGCGTACTCTTTTTCCTCCTCTAAGCTCGCTTGCAGAATGACAACTTCATCCTCCAAAGCCTGAACCTTTTCTTTCAATGATTCTTCTTCGCGTCGACTCAACCTGAGTTCCTCTTTGACCGCGAGAAGCTCATTCCGTTGTTCCTCGACGATCTGCCGCTTCGACGCAATATCTTCATTCAACTCCTTGACTTGACGACTGAGAACAGCCTCCTCCTGCCGGTGCCGCTCCTTCTCGCTGTCGATCACTTCCTGGAGTTTCGTCTGCCGTCCGGTGAGAGTCAACTCAACGTCTTGGAGTTTCTCAATTGTGCGCTTGAACCCGGCTGCTTGTTCTTCGGCTTTTTCCTTCTGCGATTGAAGGGTCCGTCTTGTACTCTCCCACCTGTCCTGCTCGAGTGCGAATTGGCCTTCCTTATCTTCGATTTCATGTTGCAGATTCTCTATTTCCTCTTGCAACCGCTCCACTTCTTCCCTGTGCTGGGTTCGCAAGGCGTGATTATTGTCAAGAGCACGTTGCTTCTCGTCCTCTAGCGCCTGCTCAAGCTCGCGTATCGAAGCTTGTGCTTTAGCTAGCTCCCTCTGGAGACTAGCCGATTCATCAGTCAAAGCGTTGTGGCGGGTCTGCAGGAGCTCTTTCTCGTCTGTTTTGCGATCCAAATCATCGAGCACCTGCTTCAAACGATTTAAGGCTTCGTCACGCTCCGTTTGAGAGACGTCGCGTTGGCGATTTGCTAGCTCAACTTCGTTCCGAAGCTTCTCCTCTTCAGCAGCATGTTCGCGTTGAGCCTCTCGAAGTTGATCCTCAAGCTCGGTCACGCGCCGCGTTTTGGCTTGATATTCCTCCTTGAGATTGCTGTGCTCCTGACGAAGCTCATTCAGCTCCTCCTCGAGCTTAATGACCTTTTCCTCTAGTTGGCGACTGAGACCTTTGGTGGTGAATGACTTGTTGGCCATTTCATCTTGCAACTCCTTTAGATTCTCCTCTGCTTGCTCTTTTTCTTCGATCGCCTGCTTCCGGGCCTCGTTCGCTTCTCGTGCCTCCTCACTTGCTTGCTCGAGATTTTCTTGTAGCTCTTCGAGTTGCTCTTTGGCGCGTTCTAGCTCCGCTTCCAGTTCAGCAACAGCCTCACTCTCCTTCCCGTCATTGGCCTTTAAGTTGTCAATCTCATCCTCTTTCTCTTCGATGATGCGGTCCTTTTCTCGTATTGTGGCTTCCAGATCTTCAATCTCATCCCGTAACCTTTCGACTTCCTCTGACTCCTTCTCCTTCGCATTTTTCAATTCTTCTTGAAGATCCTTTACTTGCGTTTCTCGGGTTTCGAGTTCCTCACGCATCCAATCCATCTCTCGTTGTACGGCTTCGTCCATCTGTCTCCGCTTTGCTTTCTCCCGAAGCTCTTGTAGCTGTAAACGATACGCTTCGAGGTCCCGTTCGGCTTGATGGAGGCTCTTCTTATAGCGCGCGATGTCTCTCTGCAAGGTGACTTTAGTCACCTTGAGCTCGGTATTCTCCTTGAGTGCCGCTTGATTATATTGTGGACCAGCCTTTTCAAGTTGCTCTTGCAGATAATGGATCTTTAGCTTCAGACCGAAGTTCTCCTTGTCGAGCTTATCGATAGCCTGTTGCACGAGCCGCATCCCGTCAGATCCCGCGATGCCATCCCTAATAGGTCATCTGGACGTTCAGCTTACCTTCTCCTGTTCCTTCAGAGTCATCATCTGCCCATCGCTCACGACCGCTCCGTTCCCGTCTCGTTGTAAACGTGGCAATGGTGTACTCTGCGCGCTGCTGCTTGCCACTTGGGGAAGCGGCGTCGCTTCATCAGCAGCCATTGATCCTGTTGCCCCTTCCTCGTAGACATCTGTCATATCCGGTAATCCTGGAGTGTTACCGTTGCTTCGATAACCCTCTTTGAGGTATGCTGGGGTCTTGGGCGCGCCGCTTCGAGCAGCCGACATGTTCCTCAGAAGATTGTTTCGCGTCACACTTCTCATCATGGGCGTGAATTCACCCTTTGGGGGTGCTGCCGTCGGCAGGTGTCGGCGATCGTTCAGGGCATTTCGCGTTGACTTCGACCCGGCGCCGGACCCGGCGCGCGGTGTGCTCAATTTGAAGTCGCTAGAACTGCGTCGTTGTCGATTCTCGATGACCTTTACAATGTCTTCATCCTTGGACGGGGTCTGAAATGAGTTCTCGACGGAGTCCAACGCAGAGAGATTTGTTCGCGCAGCGCTTCGGAGACCATTGGTCAAGTATGTCGCGTTGCCGTCAATTTCAGTTCGCGGCGTGTCAATGTACGGGAGCGGCATTGTGAGATTCTTCCTCCGCTAGAAATAGATCAAGGAAGAAAGAAAGAAGGAAATAGAATAGACAATTACCTGGCAGCTGCGACCATTTCCAAAATGTGCTCCAGTCCAGAAGACGAGTTCAGACCGACGTGTTTGGACGGACGGCCGGCTTGAAGCGCGTCAGCTCTGCGGGCCGTGTTGATGTTTAGCCCGAATCGGGTTAGCTCCCAGCGGAAGCCTCGATCGTCGGGCCGGCCCCTCTGATTCTCCGAGCACTCTAGATGGTGAAGTCACGCCAGGACGCCGATGGCGACACTCTTGTGAGCACTGTCTGCTGGTTTTCAGGCCCTTCGGAGGAGCGCAGAAAATGGCGCCGATGTCACAGGAGGACCTTGAGTGGTTCAAGTCCACGTTTCACCCGATCCCCAGACCGCAGCTCCCGGAGGATGCCATTGAATACTCGCTCTATCTTATTCCTTCTGACCCCGCCCCCGCGGTGACGGACGCAGTCGCCGAGACACGAGCACGGCTACAAGAAGTTCAAAAAAGCGCTTCAGAGCTCTCGAAAAAATGGTTGAAAGGTTACATCTGGCAACGGGAGGGCTTTGGGCTCGAGATTACCAAAGAAAATGGTATGCTATTCTGTGATTGGAACTTCACGAGCGATCATCCTAACCGCGCCTTTTCTTAGGAATCACTCTCCTAAGAGGAAGGACGAATTATGGAGATTCCATCGAGGATGAGTGGGTAATTGTGTACTTGTTGCGGGAGTTGACAAAGAAGCACAAAGACCTGTGGGTGAAAGTCATTGATAGTGATGGCGAATTTCTCTTGATAGAAGCGGCAGAGAGCTTGCCATCTTGGTTGGAACCTGACGTTGCGGACAACAGAGTGAGTTTGAGTATCTATCTATGAATTGGGTTATCAACTGCTGATAATATCCAGGTATGGATCCACGATGGGCAACTTGTTATTATCAAGCCGAAACACGACAGAAAGAAAGTGACAGAGAAGATTTCGGTAGAGGACGCCAGGAAGATCATCGTAGAGGAACCCAAGCGCCTTATGCGCTCCGCTAAGATTGAAGAGGAGGCTTTCTACCGCCTTCGAAAATACCCCCAGCGGATCAGCGAGAACATGCACTGCGCGCTCGTCACGATCCCACGGAAGATCGCATATCTCCTGCACCAGAAACCCGCATACATCTCGCCTGCAGTAGAGGCTTTCTACACACGGGACCCAATTGCCCTCCGGCCCCTTAAGGCCAAGGGTACCAGCAATTTGACATTTCCGCCCGAAGACCTTGTCACTGTTAGTGCCAAATTCACAAGAGTGGGCTATGCACAATTGAAAAGCCAAGATTTTCCGGCCCCTCAGGCTTGGATTGGGAAGCTTCCATCCAAGACTGACCGCAAAGCATATGCCCGAGCAGAAACGGGAATGAAAGTCACTTGCGGTTTCGAGATGTTTGTTTCTGATCCACAGAATCAGGATAAAGCTGCGGTGCGGGAAATAAAGATGCTTCTTGAAGACATTGATACCGGGGATGAGAAGCTGCCAACGGACGAAGAAATCAAATCCTGGGACCATCGAGAAGATGATGAGAAATGGCTGGACATCAGTTACGATGATCTCGAGTCAGAGCTGAGAGGAAAGGCAAGGGACAGATCCGCTAAACCGGGAGCCTTCGGAGATCAGAACGCGCAGGAGAATCTTCGGCGGATTGTTGCCCGTTTCGAGGAGTTTCTAAATGACGATTCTGCAGACATTGAAGGAGCACATTTCCTTGGCGAGTCAGACACGGATGACGGAGACGATGATGACGAATTGAGTAGTGATGGTGAGGACAAAGATTTAGGATTTCATGAGGGGCCACGACCAAGTGGCAGAGTGGAAGAGTTGGACTCTGAGTCGGAAGAGGATGATAGTCAGCAGATTGAAGAATTGGCGAGGCAAATGGAAGCGGAGCTCAGACCGACCGGTGTCCTAGACCTGAATGACCGCTCTGCAGACAAATCAGCAGGCAAAGGGAAATCAGTGAAAGGCAAGGCTCCCATGCGGACGAATGAGGGCCCCGATCAAGACGATAATTCGGAAAGCGAAGTTGATGACGCGGAAGCGGACGAAGATATCAATGTCAATCTGGCTAAGAATCTTCTTGAGAGCCTTCAGAGTCAGGCTGGTATGCCGGGGCCTGGCGGAAATCTCATCGGTATTATGGGCATGAAAATGCCTCGAGACGACCGAGGATGAGTCTGGTTGAGCTAAGAGTATATGTTTTTTTGTTGGCAATCAAAACCTTTCCATAACGAGGCGAAAAAATGGGCTAGACGTGAGACGACACAACACTGTATCATTCTTGTCCGTCAAGAACCCGCTGCGTCTAGCCCTTATATATCTGCCTCGCAATTGCTCGAGGGTTGATGGTCACTCCAACCGAAAAATGAAAATACGACTATACCAGAGGCACATAAAAGGACTCACCCTCGTCTTGTCAGTGAGTGCTAATGATGCTACGAAACCATGCCTATGCTATTGGCGGGCGGGGTTTTACTCGGGCCAAGTCAGTCGGCTTGATTATTATCGCATGCACTAGCTGCGCTTTGTGCTGGCTAGTGGTCCTGGATTCTGTTGAGGCGTGAAGTGAGATCTCAACATTTACGCCTTAACTCTGTACGTTTGGGAGGTTGCCTCCTCGCCGAAACCGCATACCATGGCATTCTGGTCCCGATTATGGTGATTGATGGTATCCTTCTCTGTTTTACCAGTCTGATGTCGACAGTGATGATTACAATCTGCTAGACACTATGTCGCTATCCCAAGGATGTGCTCCTCAAGCCGAGGGCTCTAACGGAAGTAATGATGTGACAAACTTCAGCCAATATATACCCCGATTAGCTTGCGTTGACGAGAAAGGCTTACGGGATCTCATCACATCACCTTCCAAATTACGTCAATGAATAAAAACTTCGCCGTAGTTCAGTCAACCGTGGAATTTGGTTTCCCTTTCTATGCACGAAAATCACAGGGTGAAAATTTTTTTTTCTTAAGGTACAGAAAAAAGGCGATCCAGAAGAGCTATTCAAGAATCCAACAGATAGGCCGAATTCGATTACTATTGTCATTGCATTTTGTTTTGCCATGAACTCACACCCGTAACAGCCACTCTCCTGACGTCGACACCAGGGGCAAGGAAGGTCTCGGAACAAGTTTAGCTTTGCTTGTTCCAGAGAAAGGGAAGAGAAGGGAAGGCGAGGAGACCAGAAGAACCTCGGCCAGAAGAAGCAAAAGTATTGTACTGTACTGTACATTGACCTAACTGGTAGATGTCTTAGGCCAGTGGGTAACGGTTCCGTTAGCGGGTCCTGTCAGATGAAGCTGTTGCAAGACGTGACCGATAACAACAGGAGATAGAAATCAGATAACAGGCCAGATCATTGGCCAGACTGAAAGAAGTAAAAAGCAAAAGGCCCTCGTCGTCGTTGTTGCTGCAGTAGTCACGTGCCTGCCACGCATGAGTTTGTCTCGAGGCCTTGCAGAGGCAACTTCCGGACGCTGTCACTCACAGAACTTGGCGCGTGTGCTGTGGCACCAAAGTAAGTTCCCAGGTTGGTTATCGTAATGAACTTAAAAAACTACTTATCGAAAAGAGAGCTAATCATCCTTAAGTCTGGCCCAACGCCCTCCACTCCCCCCACCTCTTTTTTTCCTTTTTATCCTCTTCTCTCCGCGGATTGACCTCTTGACGGACAGCTAGATAGCGTGTGCGGTTCCGCTGGACCTTCCGTTGAGGTCACCGTCGTCTTCCCAACTGCGACTCGTACTGTACAACCCTTGTCTTTCCTTACGTTCTCTGTCCCCTTGCGGACCCGGCCCGACCTGCTTTGTGTTGGCTTTCGTACGGATGGGCAAGGCTGAAACTAGGGGCCTTACAGTACAGTCGCTGTCGCCCTCGCAGAACCCCGCTTTTACCTATTACTGCATGACGCTGGCAGCGCCCTTTTGCGGAGATCCTTTATTCAGCTTGCATTGTAAAACGGGGAAAATAAAGCCCATATTTCCTTAAAGGGAGGTCGTTTCTCCTTTGGTCTCGTTGGCTTGACGTCCCTCATCATGGCTACACCAGCACAGTGCTACTACTGCTTCGAGTGCCTTTCTGCCTCGTTCAAGAACGAGGAACCTCCCAGCCTTGCAGCCGTAGAAGAGCTGTGGGAGCAGTATGAGCAAGCCAAGGAGCTGGCCATGCTGAAAGAGAAAGCGTTGGTCTCCCAAGCCAGCGAAAGTGATCCGAGCAGCTCTAATGTAGAGGGGTTGCATGATAGTGTCGATGTCGAGGAAGAGAGCGACGTCGACGAAGACGGAGAGGAGAGTCTCCCAGGGGACAAGAACAACCGACCACGCTCGATCAAGCTGCCCGGTATCAAACGTCTGCAACGGGACTTTCCATCAGACTCCTCTTCTAGCACGTCGACGCCTTCGACGCTGTCCACCCACTCGTCCCGTTCTGCGCTGTCGAATTCTACGGCGGTGACCACCCCCCTTTCCCAGCCGTCAACCCCGAGCTTCCAACGTCCTAAGCCTCTGAAGGGGTCGTATCCGCTGTTCGTGACGTGGAATACTATTTCTAAGAGTGGCCACAAGTCCCTTCGTGGGTGTATCGGCACTTTCGAAGCTCACGAGCTCTCCTACGGGCTGAGAACCTACGCTCTCACTTCGTATGTATCTCATCTTTCTCCCCCTTTACGCGGACATCTGCGGGAACGGGTTATATTATTCGTATCCTTGCCGATGTTCAACCCGATCTATCAGGCGTGCTAATGTCGCCCATACAGAGCCTTCGAAGACAGCCGATTTTCCCCGATTCCCGCTTCTCTGCTACCGTCTCTCTCCTGCTCCTTGACCCTCCTGAGCGACTTTGAGCCATGTGCCGACGCCCTGGACTGGGAGCTGGGCACACACGGGCTACGTATTTCCTTCGTCTACCGTAACCGACGCTACGGCGCCACGTACTTACCGGATGTCGCCGTCGAGCAAGGATGGACCAAAGAAGAGACCGTGGAGAGCCTGATGCGCAAAGCTGGCTGGGACGGGGGCAGCGGAGGAATGGCCCGGAGGTTCTTACGGGGCAGCGGCAGCGCCAGCGCCATCTCCGGGAAGCCCTGGAACGACGTGTCTGATTTCAAGGCCATCAGGTATCAAGGGCTCCGGGCAACCGCCAGCTACGCTGAGTGGCAGGAATGGAGGAAATGGGTCAAGGCGGACGAAGCGCGCCTCGAGCTGCTCGAATCGAGTCGATGAGCCAAGGCAGTCATGACCACATCAACGACAACATCAGCGACAATAACACTGGCAATGACGATCATGACAGAATATCCACCTATCTACATGTTTGCTTTCCAACTTAACTTGAATGTAACGACCGGGTGGAGACTATTACAGGGAGGGAAGGAAGGATGGATGGATGGATGGATGGTATTAGGCATAATCAATTACTCTATTTTTTTTAATAACAGATAACAGATGAAACATTTCCTCAATAGACATGATTTTCATTTTTCTCACATTCTTCGTGACATGCATATCTCGGTAATCTTCTCTCATACCTGATCAATTCAACTTACGTACGTACGTACGTACCTACCTACCTACCTACCTACTAGAAGTTCATTATTAAGTGCTCACTCACAGAGACATTTTTTAAACCTCCTCCCCAAAATAGAGAAAAGAGAAAAGAGGAACTACAAAAAAAAAACACCGAATCCAATCCATTGCATTCCATTTTCCTTTTTTTTACCTGTTTCTGTTCAGCTTTATTTATTTAGTTATCATTCATATCATATAAAATATCATATAATAACATGTCATGAAAGATACACTAATAATAATAGTAAAAAAAAACACTTGACTTTGTTCATTGTTTATTGTTTGTTACTTGTGATAGCCATGGACTCCACATGGACGTGGACATACTGTAGACATATCTTTTCCAACTTCACTGAGCTTCAACTCTGTCTCGACTCTCTCATCTTCCTTGCTTTCTTTCTTTCTTTAATACTTCATCTTCATCCAATGCGAGAATGTAAACCAAAAAAAGGTATGGAATGAAACCCGAAAGTAATAGGTGAATGAATGGATTGAAGAAAAGACCAAAAAAATCATAGAAGTAATGCTAAATTTTCGAAAGAAACACATACACCAAAAAAGAGAATAAGGCAGAATCCAAAAAAAAAAGTTGAATCCAAAAATACGGATAGGAATTGAATGGGAATAGATGTCATCCAAAAGGTTAGTCAAGGCAAGGCGTTCCTTCGTCACAACATCATATATCCTCATGTGTGTATATATATATACTTTTCTTGTCCTTTTTTAAGCCGAATTTCATCGCTTTTGACCTTCGGGCTTGCTCCAAAGACCAGTCATCGTCTCCTTCATTTTGCGCTCTTGCTCGCGGATCTGCTCTTCGGTCTGACCTCGTGCGTTACTGCGGCTGTCAATTCCGGCCGTCGTGCGATGGCGGCGGCGGTGGTGGTTGTTGCTGCTGCTTGTGCCGGTTCTCTTCGAAAACTTGGTTCCCGTCCACGCGCTCCGGCTTGGGATCGACGCTGGTGGCACCATCCATCATCAGATGGCCACCTTCGCGCAGCTTGTTGATGGCGCGGACGGTATCGATAGCCTTGTGCAGCGTCCGCCGCGCGTTGAAATTCTTCTTGACGGTAGGCAGCAGGTCCTCCCCCGTGCCTTGGCCAGCAGGATCGATCGGGGGGTTAATCCAAGGATGCTGGAGAGCTTCGTGAGCCGTGATTCGCTTCTGCGGATCAATGGTCAAGCAGCGGTTGATAAACTCGCGCGCCGTCTGGGAGACATTCCGCCAATGCTCGACTGGCGTGAATGAGTAGTCAGCCACGAGAATGGCCTGCATCTCCTCCAGGTTGGACTCGCGGTCGAACGGCGTGTATCCGCACAGCAGGAAGTACGTGATGACGCCAATTGCCCAGATATCTCTGCAACACCCATCAACTATCAGCAAATGCAAACTCCATCTCGCGTCGTTGGCAATACATACACTGGTTTCCCGTGCCCAGTCTTCTTGAAGATTTCCGGAGCCATATAGCCTGGCGTGCCACACGTCGTGGTGAGCACGTGAAACTGCTCTTCATCCATGATCCTCGCCAGGCCAAAGTCCGCAATCAGCAGGTCCGCATTGTCCTCCGGGGTCCGAAACAGCAGGTTCTCCGGTTTGAGATCTCGATGCACGATGCCGTGGTCATGCAGGTATGCGACGGCGGAGAGAGTGGCTCGGATGATGTCTGCTGCATCGCTCTCGTAATAGCTGCCCTTGCGGCAGATTCGGTCGAACAGCTCGCCGCCCAGCGCCAGCTCAGTGACCAGATACACTAGAAATAGACGCAATCATGTCAGCGTTTTCCTCCATCCGTCTTCCATAGAGGCTTGACACGCACGATTGTTCATTGTCTCGAAGTAATCGACCAGCGTGAGGATGTTCTGATGCCCCATCGAGACCTTCTTGAGCACAGCAATCTCATTTCGAACCTGTTGACCGGGGAAAAGCACGATGTATCAGCCTTCTGCAACACCAAAACGATGCTCCCGCCAGACCAACTCACCATGTGCTCCCTCCCCGCCATCAGACGCTTGTTGATCACCTTGGCGGCATAGTACCGCCCCGTATCGATATGGACGCATTCTTTCACGACCGAGTAGGAGCCCGCTCCCAGGGTCTTTCCAGTCTTGTACCGGCAAGGCTGGATCTGTGGCCGTTGAGGTTGTTGGGCCTGGGTCTGGGAGGCCATTCAGTCACGCACAGAAGGGAAAGAAGCCCGTGGGATGGTGAATCTACTTCTTCTGGGGTTGGCAATCGCGATTCGACACAGGTTTGTTTTTTTTTTTGTTGGGTCGTTATGTACAACGGTTGTGGAGAGGAATTGAGTGAGGGGTTGCTTTGCGGGATTCCGTGGGGTTTGACACTCCCGAAACGTTACGGGAAAGCTAAGAATAGGGACGAGAGCGACCCTTCTTCACCAGACCCGACAGCAAAAAAAATTCCCTCCACTGCAGTCACCCACGAGAAGAGGCCGAAAAAAAAGTAGAAGGAAGCAAGAACTCCATAGGACGATCAGGTACAAGGTCCGAGTTTGTTCCGACGACCACGACAGTTGGTTGCGCCAAGAGCAAGTTTGCTGGTCGAACCAATGGCAACAATGCTAAACGCGGGGATTCGACCGCTGAGTGCTAGACAACCCTGCAACACCCCGATAACAATAACAGTCGGAGGATCATTTAACTCGTGGCTCAGCTAGAACAGCTTGATCTATATTCGTTGAATTAATATAATAGTTTATATCCGAGTGAATAGATCGATTTGCGGTAATGTTACAGTGGACGAGTCAATGGGTTTTCCAGAATATATATTGATCTTTCCTGCTCTATTATCTTGCTACATCTGATTATACGGGCATGTCACTACTTACTATTTACTATTTATTACTTCTTACAAGCCTTTGATCCCTTGCTTCGCTCAGGCGGCTTGAAGGGGAACCAATTACATTATGGGTGTCATATGACTATAAACTATGGCCTGGGAATATTAATAAAATTGCTATAGCTAACAATAGAGAATAATAACCATAAGGTAACTATATTATATAATTGAATTTACTACAATTTGCAGTCTATAGGAAATAATAGACTACAGAGCTTACATAAAAAACCTTAGATCTTGTTGCGGGCTAAGCCCATATCGCTGACTCAGCTTCGCTCTCGTCTCCTGATTGGCCCATTTGTTGTTGTTGATATAGCTCGCGTGCCCTTCTCTCTCTCCCTTCCTTTCTTCCTTTCTTCCTTCCCCAGCGAATCCTTTTTATGAGCTTCTAGTTTCTAGATAGCAAGGCTTTGGCCCTTCACAGATCTATAGATTTTATAAAATTTTATATTTAATAACCTCTTAAATAGACTATATAAACTTGTTATGAACCAACAGGAGACAACGCTGTCCAACACAGCGGTGCAGGATGAAACATTACCCCGCAAGGCAGGAATAGGCACTAAGAGGTCACGTGACTTGTATACCATTGGAAAGCCAAGGAGCAAGATAAAGATGGTACACAGGATGGTATACGAATACCAAAGGAAGACCCAGGAAAAGACCTTGAAGGTATATGAGATGGTATACAGAGTGGTATGATGAGAAGGAGACATAAAAGGAAGAAGGATTCCGGTCATGTATCTAGTCTTTCTCTACTCGTGCTCAATTCAATTCATTCAAGATCGTTGTTACTAAGATACTTACTTTGGGGGTCAGTAAGACTTCTTACTACTAGTGGTATACTTCGGTATAGCTCTAGTAGGCGTTGCCTCTGACCTAGTCGTTATTGTTATCCTTACTTACTACTTGTTTGTGTGTCCCTGCGAGACCCCACTATATCTGGGAGAGAGGTCGTTCGAGGAAGAGCCCTTCGCCAGGTAGGCCGTTGTCTCAAGGAGAAGAGACCCGGGTCAGTTAGACCGTCGCGTGCTCGTGAACGACATAGAGTCAGAAAGACTCCTTGATCCTTCCCAGTGTCGACGACTACGGTTGGACCCAGCGCGTAACAGCAATATGGAATGAGCCTTTGAGCAGCAGACCCAGATCCAACAACAGGCATGCCAGGGGGACCTAGAGATGATATAGGCACAGCTTATGGAGGTTATAAACAACTGGAAAGCAGAACAACAGGTCTGGGAAGAGAGCTACCTACAGAGGATTTCTTCTCTAGAACTAGAAATTAGCAAGCTTCACACAGAGCTCATGGCAACCAACCAGCAAGCCCCTATATCAGACCTGCCAGCTCACCTAGACCAGGTGCACAGACCAGCAAGCAGAGCCGCAAGCAGAGCCGGAAGCAACAACCAGATCAAAGACCAACAGCCGAAGACCCCAATACAGAGACCCCTAGTAGCTCTGAAACAACTAGCAAAGAAAGGAACCTCATATGCAGATGTGGCAGCCCTGATGGCCACTAGGCCTGGGGGCCAGGAGTGGTAGGTGGTGCTGGCCAAACAGAAGAAGAAGGCTCAAAAATCAAGCAATCCTAATGGCCCTAAGGAGCCCCAAAGACCAGAAAGCCTAGTGCCAGCCAAAGAGAAGAATAAGGAAGCCTGCAGGCTTCTATTTTGAAGAGATGGGGGGCTGGTGGCCCCTAAGGCAGAACATGAAGAGGTCATACTAGCAATTAATAGGGCTCTAGCAAAGAAAAGGCTTCCTAGGCTTCCTCCAGGTAGTTGATATGGGCTATACAGTAACAGGAGCTATATCAGTTCTGGTAGAAAAGGGGTCCCTAGGGTTAATGCTAGTCCCTAGCTATAGAGATCTCCTAGTGGTGGCAGCCTGGCAAGCAGACCCAGCAGTGGTATCAGTGGAACTCCCTGAGCAATAGTATAAGGTCAAGGTATATGGGGTACCAACTAGACAATATTTGGCCAACAGGCTAGGTCTTACCTGCAAAGAAATTAAACTAGGAACTAAATACCAATTGAAGCAAGACCCCATATGGCTCCAAAACCCTGAGGAAATTAGGGGGCAAAAGGGCTCTACTATAGTAATTATAGTAGGCTCCTTAGAAGAAGCTAGGAAGATCTTGAACAATAGAATCCACTTTGGAGGGTCCAGATACCAAACAGAACATTACTGGGACCTAGGGGCAGGTACAGTATGCCTATAGTGCTGTGGGATTGGGCATTATAGCTTTAGGGCTTATGGGGACTGTCTACTATTATGCTTCATCTATGTAGGGCCCCATAAGGGAGCTGATCATGTCTGTAAGGTAGTCAACTATACTATAAAGCCAGGAATAGCCTATCAGCATATACCTGCCAAATGTGGTAACTATAGTGGCCCACTGTTACGCGCTGGGTCCAACCGTAGTCGTCGATACTTAACAATGGTGGTTAGGGAAGGATCAAGGAGTCTTCCTGACTCTGTGTCGTTCACGAGCACGCGACGGTCTAAATGGTATACAAGTCACGTGATCTCTGAGTGCCTTATTCCTGCCTTGCGGGGTAATTGTTTCATCCTGCATCGCTGTGTTGGACAGTGTTATCTCCTGTTGGTTCATAACACCCACACCCAGCAATAATAGGGACCTGCCCTAAGATATGAGAAGCATAGAAACACCTTAGTAAGAAGAGGGAACCAAGTGTAGGCCCCCTAGGGTGTCAGGAATCAGTACAAGCAATAATACTAAGCTTACCAGGCTTTGCAGTAGTAGTAGCAAGCCAGGAAGCCACTCAAGCCCCTGAGAGGCAGACTCCTCAGCCCCGACCTGAGGATACCTAGCCTCCACAGACCCCAAAGACCCCAATCATATAGGGAGATGTGGATATGGGGAATGCTTAGACCCCTAGGGCAGGCACAGGACCTAGCTCTACAGCAGAATGTTAGTAATGTAACATAACTGCTGCAGGGCCTATATAATTACAATTGCAGCCCTGGAGCTAGGGCTTTAGCTAGGGGTGGGCCTAGCTTGCCTGCAGGAACCCTATGTTGAGAGAGAGTTTAGGCATAGGGGATATCTACTATACTGGCCTGAGAAAGGGGAGCACAGGGGCTCATGGGTGGTTAGTTATTGCTGTCTAGTTATATAACTAAGTTAGCATGCTGAGTAAGCACAACTGACTAACGTAATCCACCACCGAGCTGCGCGGACCACCGAGCTGCGCGGCCACCACCTCGGCCACCCCCTATCATCGGATTTATCGCGATTTACCAACGCACCGCGTCATGGCTGATATATCAAAAGAAGGGCGTATGCAATTAGCACTTGAAGCCTATAAGAAAGGTCTTTTTCCATCAAAAACTGCAGCTGCCAAAGCTTTTGACGTGCCTCCAAGGACCTTTATGACACGTGTTAATGGGACTACTGCTCGCAAAGATTCAACTGCAAATTGTCGCAAATTGACAGATACTGAAGAATCTACACTTTTAGCATGGATTCTTGATATGGACCGACGTGGTTTACCTCCACGAATATCAACAGTACGCTATCTAGCGCAATTGTTGCTTTCTGCGCGGTTATCTTCACCTCAAGAAGCTTCTATTGGGGAGAACTGGGTAAACCGGTTTATCAAGCGCCATAAAGAACTTTGCTCTAAATACAGCCGAAAGTACGATTATCAGCGAGCTAAATGCGAAGATCCAGAGCTTATTAAGGGCTGGTTTACACGTTTCATGATGCTATTCAGAAGTATGGGATCCTTGAGCAAGATATCTATAATATGGATGAGACTGGCTTTCAAATGGGTGTGATATCAACTGCCAAAGTTGTCTGCGGTTCAGAGACAAGAGAAAGTCATGCAAAGACTATACAACCTGGAAACCGCGAATGGGTTACTGCAATTGTAGCAGTGAATGCAACTGGATGGGCCTTGCCTCCACAGATTATTCTTGCTGCAAAGAACCATCAATCCCAATGGTATAAGGTTGTCCCAAAGGATTACCGAATCAGCACCAGTGAGAATGGCTGGACAAATGATGAATTAGGCCTTGAATGGCTTCAAGAGATGTTTGAAAAGCATACAGCTTCTCGTACTGTTGGGACGATATCGCCTCTTGATTCTGGATGGTCACAGCAGTCATGCTACAGCAGGATTTGATAAATTCTGCACAGAAAGGAATATTATTCCTTTATATCTACCACCACATTCATCACATCTGCTTCAACCACTTGATGTAAGCTGCTTCTCGCCACTGAAGCGCCTGTATGGCCAGAAGACTGAGGAGATGATGCAGAATGGAATCCATTCAATTGATAAGGAAGACTTCCTCTATATCTATCCTACAGTCCATCAACGTGCTTTATCCTTATCAAATATTCAAAGCGGATTTGCAGCAACTGGCCTGGTTCCATTATCACCTGAAAGAGTGCTTTCGAAGCTTCATATCCAGTTGAAAACACCAACACCACCTTCTACAGCACATAGCAATCAATCTTTTAATGGCCCAGGCAAAACTCCAGCTAATATATGTCAACTGGACCAGCAAAAGAAGCGAATTCAACATCTCCGCAGTCATCAAACAGTGTCTCCTTCCACACTGGAACAGGCAGTTGATAAGGTGATCAAAAGCGCAGAGATCACCATGCAGAATGCTATCCTATTGCAGCAAGAAGTTAATCAACTTCGTGCAGCAAATCAGCGTCTAAAAAGGAAGACGAGAGGCATCAAGATACTTTATAGCAACTGGTGGTAGCTTGACAGGTGCTGAAGGACAGCAAAAAGCTCAAGAGCATGAGGAGCAACTACAGGAATCATCTAGACCACGGACTCGAAGGCCACCAAGATGCAGTAATTGCAATCAAACAGGCCATAATCGGCTTAAATGCCCTAGTAAACAGTCTCCTTCTTTATATAGTCAAATTCATTAAATTTGGTTGCAAAATGCTTCAAGATTTACGGTTGTGTTGGTGGTTGAATTTTTTTCTCGGGGACCGCGCAGCTCGGTGGTCCGCGCAGCTCGGTGGTGGATTACGTTAGTTAGTTAAGTTAGTTAACTAACTAACTAACCTAACTAACCATAAGGAATCCCCACACACAAAACTACAGAAAAAAACTGTTATTTCCTTTACAATAGGGGGGATATAAGCCTTACTATACTGCATAGGCTTTGCGGGGGCTTTAGAACAGGAGGTATCAATATATCCGAAGTATTCTCAATCATGAATGCACCGCTATATTCTATCACCATGACACAAAAAGTTCTGAGATTATCTCGGGTATAGTATGATTTCATTATCCAATCCATGCATGAAGACCCCAAAATAGCTATGTCCTCAGATACAAACAGTATATACAGTAAACATCAACATCAACGTCAACGTCGATCAATGCTCCCTTGTCAAACGCCCAACCAGTGCAATTCCTTTTCCCTTCCCCCAACGCCTGAAACAAACGACATAGAAAGAAACAAGAAAGGTAGATCAAGAACAAGAGCGAGCTATATTCGTTTCAAAACTCCCTCTGCCACTCCTTCCAGCAACTTGAGCCCATGAAATTTGGCGGCGCTCACCATGACGCGCAGCTTCCTCATCACTTCGTTCCGATCCATGGTCGCAACCCAGGTGCCGCTGCAGGAACAGTGCTCCATGAACGCGCTGACCTTGAGTCCACCGCACTTGGAGCATTTCAGATCCTGCGTCTGCCAGGCCACCACGAGTCCATGAACCTGGCCGATCAGCTTCTCCTCCTGCGCCAGCCGGTCGTACTCAGTCTGGCAAAACGGACACCGCCAGGCCTTGGGAGCTCCTTTCCCGCCGTCGAACTCCGGGTCAGGGAGGACATCTTCATCCCGGCACAGATCCAGATCACGGATCAAGCAGCAGGCGCTGCAGGTCAACTCGGGCAGCTTCAAGCTGGCGCTGGGGTGCTCGAACCGGCCTTCCTTGCTGAATTCGCGTACCTCGAAGAGCGCGAGCAGCTCGCGTCGGAGAAGACGTGTCTCCAGGGTCGTGATCTTCGACAGGCTCAGCACCTGCATGAGCGACTTGACCAACTCCAGCACGGGGTTTCGATTTTCCTCATTCGGATCCACCAAAACCCCTGGAAGAACCGGGAAGACATAATCGGAGGCCAATTCAGGGTGCAGAAGCTCGTCACGCTGCCGTCGAATAAGACCGGCAATTTGCTTCTTCAGCGGTTTCGAGAACCGATCCGCGAGTATAGACGTAATTTCCTCTCCATCTGCCTCCGTAAGCGGCCCACGAGGAATCTGGGTCAGTCGCGGTGTGGAGGAAATATCGCCGTCTGCGCCGTCTCCCCGTTTGAGACTATGCATCAGCTCGATATATTCAACAACCCAGTCATGGAAGACACTCTGCATCGGAGCAGGAAGGAACCGACTCATCTGCCAGTGCATGATGGTTTCCAGTTGCTGAGCCTCTGCCTCCACGACTTCTCGGCATCCTTTGCCGCCGTAGTTGTACTCGTCATACCAAACCAAGAAGTCCCAGTATTCTTTGATCTCGAGGTCGATAAAGTGGAACGCCGCATCCCCCCGGATCGACTTCAGAACGTATTGACTGTACGCGTAGGCGTTGCCCACTTCCGTCTTCGTCGTCTGCAGGAGCAGCCGCGTCGGGCTCGCGAAGATCACATTCGAGCCCACCCGACGGAAGTCTGCCATCAGTTTTTGGAAGGACTTCTTCGACATCATCCGGACGTAGTAATGCAAAGCGCGGTCGTACAAACACGAACTGGGACTCTCGACCCATCGGATCAAGTGCTGGACCATTATATCCGCCATGGTATTCCCGGCGCAGGCTTCTGTCCACCATTGCTTAACCATGTCACGTAGAACGTACACACCAGCAGATGCAAAGGCCTTCTCCGAGTAGAGGACACCCGTTCCATCACTCACGCCGTTAGTGGGAGCAAGAAGTGAGTCGCTACCTTCGACTTCGTTGATGATAGATGATGTGAGGATGGTGTTGATCGCCAGATTTCGAACTTCAAGCTCAATGGACACCGTGGAATACGTGCCTGGCACGTTAATGGACGGCATCTCGACGGTCTCCAGGGGACCCAGGACGTCATCCTTCTCATAGCCGGCATGATCTGGCCGTGGTCCTGCAGACCACCATAGGACAACGTTACTTTGCTGCAGCCGTCTTGCGTAGGAAATGTCGATCAGATATCGAGGGTCATCGCTTTCCAGATTGCAGAGAGGCACGTCCCCGTACCGTGCCAGCATAGTCAAATGATGGATCCAAGGGCTCAGGTAGAGGTAGTGAGTAACCAGTCGCTTTGCGACAAAGGATTGCCATCCCAGAGGCGGCATATCCATGTCCGACGTCTCAGGCTTGACTGAGAGAACTGGGTATTCTTTCAGGATCGGTATATCGTGGCATAACCGCCGTCTTTGCTGTGATTGAATCACGAGTACCACTGGCTGGCTTTCCTCGCTCCGTAATTTCTTCACCAGGTCACCCACCTCAAGGTGTGCTTTTCTCAGCGTCGTCACTTGGACAGTCTTGAAGTGGATTTTCTCTTGGTATTCGAACGCATTTGCCGTGTTTTCTGCTTCATTGGCCTGAAGTTTACGAGTAAGGAGCTCCGAATAAATCTTGTCAACGTTTGGGAGACCTTGTGCATCCCGCGTCCGATTCAAAATGACAATGTGGGCCACGTCCCTGGTAGTTGAGAAAAGTGCGAAGATCTGTCTATCGCCAGAGGCAACATGGTACAGATAGTAGTAAGTCAGGGGTGACGCATCCAAATAGGGCTTGTCCGATGATGCGTGAAGTAAGGACGACAGTTCAAACCCACGGTCCAACCCCTCTCCAAGCACTCCTCGCTGACTCTCGTCAAAGGTACACAAGCTGCCCAGCTTCAACACAGCCCGGACACTCAAAGGAACATTCCTCTCGTAAACGCCCTCCACACTTGGATGATTGAGGAGAACTTCCATCTTCTCAGCCTCTCTCAAGTAGGTGTCTTCAGACAAGGTAAGCTTGAAGAGGTGGACAGATGGATGGCCATTCGGCAAGGTGTGATTCACCTTCTCTACCTCGCAGCCAGGGACGTCCACATCGGGCAAGGAATCACCCTTCAGGTTGACGAATATTTGACGGGGAACCTTAACAGTGAGGGCGTGCACTTTGCGATCAATTAAAACGAAGGCTCGCACTTCACCAGGCATATCAGTCTCCCGAAGCTGGAGAACTTGCCAAGTGCTGATGAATAATAATTCCGCTTGATTCCGGAAGAAGTGGCTTAACGAGTCTGTTGCAACGTTTGACCTCTCACCGAAAAGCTGGCGACGCCGGATACGAGCTTGTTTCTGAATCTTCCACTTCTGCTTTTGATACTTAATGAACCCTTGGTAGTCCTCCGTCATTGATGGCATTGTCGCGGGCAGGCTAGCGAAAGGATCAAGAGATGTTGTCGAAGGGCCCTCGGGCAGCTTTCTCTTCTGCGACGTCTTACTGGGCGGAGATGTCTTTTGATTCTCCGCAGACTGCGTCGTGACATTTTCGATGTCACTCGAGTGGGGAACACGATGTTCCAAGATATTGGCTGACAGATCAGACAATGGGTTCTTCTCGAATAGATCAGTCATCTTCTTCTGCTTGAGCTTGTCATCCCTGGTGTTGACTCGTCGCTGGAGCCAGTCAGGATGTGGAACCCTGGGAACCGGGTTGCGGAGCTTCTGCAAAGCAGCTGGAATAGTGATCAACTTTTGGATAACTGATCCCAATCTCTCGATATAGTAATCCCAATCAATCACCGATCTGGGATCCATATCACCGGGATCGTCCTTCAGCCATTTCCGAAGGAAAAATCGCTTCACGTTCTCTTCTGCCGAGAAGATAGTAATGGGGATCGCTCTGTCGGTGACAGGGGTATTCTTGGGTTTTGCAGATATAATATATTGGCAGTTGAGACCCTTGTCCTTAATCATTTGCTCACCCAAAAACTCCGCCAGGCGCCTTGCGGTGGTAATTGAGGTCGACTTCTGGCCTCCGTACTCGTCGACAGTCTTTGACATGCTTCTGTTCTCGCAAATGAGATCGATGAGCTCTTCATCTGCCAACGTGGCCCCACGCTCATAGAGAACATCTAGCCACCTGTTGGCTACCCGAGCCACGGCAGCGTAGGTTTCCGCCAAAGTCGATCCCTCCAAGAAGAATTTGAAGATTTGAGTCTGAAAAATCTTGATCAGTTTCAGCTCGCCTCGGCGCTTAACTTCAAATCCCTTCAACTCAGCAAGGGAACCGTCATGGTTGAAGACAGCATAGCGCTTTTTCAAATTCTTATCTTCTTCTTTGGAAGCAGGCAAGATCATAGCTTTGTATGGTCCGTCAACCTCGAAGAAGATAGAATTATCGCTGTGGGTTTCATATTTGAACGTCACAGGGTCGACCAGAGTCTGATATTGGTGGTTTGTAAACCTGCCATGGACGATGTGGTTGAGCATGACACAAGGGTAGGAGACCGGCAGTTTCTTCCCATTCTTTAACGTAAACGCGAAATTCTCTGGAAAGGTTGCCGGAAGCATACACCAGATACCATCGGTATCGAGCTCCAGAGGACGACCGATTCGTTCAACAAGCTCTCTTGCCATTTGGATGATATGAGCGCCTGTAAGACATGTGACGCCCGCCATTTCCATGGAATACCACCTGGATCCCTTACGCATCACGTAACCGTAGAAACTGTTCAAGATAACCTTGTGCGCCAGCTGTAGGGAGTCAAACAAGACAATCATCTTTTTCGCCTCCTCGATTTCTGCAGCAGGTGCTCCTGCAGCCTTCAGGGTCTCAGTTTTGCCCTTCCATACCTTCTGTTTTGCTTTGAAGTCGTATCGCCGGTCACGGAAGCTGCGCACCGTATTGACATAGAAAGGGTTCTCTCGTTGACAGATGATGGCTTCCCTCACGACCGTTTTACTATCGTGGATCTTGTGATAGATCTTCTTGCTGTAGTCCTGCAGTCGCTTTTTGACAATGGCAGCTTGCTCCTCCGCGCTCAGATCAGAGAACGAGCGCATTGGTGCGTTCTTGCCTTTGCCTGGAAACTTTTCGTTTTCCACAGCGCGTCGGATCATGTTGTACTCATCGCGCTTTGCGGGGAGAAACTCGCCTCGCCATGCCCAGGGAAGTCGCCTATCACACGTCTTGCCGGGTCGGTTGAAGTCGCAAGCGGCACAGTCTGATTCCTTTTTCATCGAATCAGGTTGCAAACGATTGGTTGTCATAATGTTGGGATACATAGAAGCAACATCCAAGTGGTAAATCAGCGGTCTTTCGTTCCTGTTCGGCGTCGCCTTCAGATTGAGCAGACGTTCTGCGATCTGCGACTTGACTTCCTCATAGTTGGTGATGTCATCCAAGGACTTCTTCTCCTCGACAACAATACTGAATTTGAGAGCGGCGTCCAGATCGTTGAGCAATTCATCGATGGCCTTCGTGTCGATAGAGAAGTTGACTGGTATGTCACTCCGGAAAACGCCCGATTCGATACTCTCAACATGACCGCCGACGTAGGTTTCCGAATCTAGCAAATGTCCTTCGTAGAAGGCTTCTGGCGGATCTTTATGCTTGTTGGGAAGGATGATATTGCTCTTGTATGCTTGTACCATAAGAAGCATCTCACACAACGTTCCCGTACCTTTCCGCAGAACATCATCGGGATTGAGGGGAATGATTGTGCAAAGGGAGAAGATGAATGGATGAATGTATTTCATGTAGAGATAATAAGTGGCAACGGCATCAGAGACCGAGTATTCTGCCAATGTCTGTGGGCGTTCGCTGGCATATCGTGTCATCAATTCGGGGTCCAGCTCGTCGGGATCATAGCCCAGCTTGGCAACAGTAACCGCTTTCAAGCCTCTGCTACCCTGCGGAAGATAACTGTCTCGATTGACCCAGGCGAAGCAGTCCATATGAACACAATGGTTGCTCTGGTAGATGTCCTCGCTGTTTTTCCTAAAGCCAATCTCAGTATACATATCGATCCCTAAGACGCTTGCTCGTGCTTCAACGAAGGCCCAGTCGAAAAAGTCACCGTTGTATGTCGCGATAACTGTCGGCTTCGCTTCTTTAATATGTTGAAAAAATCGCTCTATGGCATGGCGCTCATCGGGCTCATTGAAGATCACAAAGGGACCGCTGTACTCGGGCTTCGGAGTGTACTCGAAGTCATTGATATCTTCTGAGACGATTTCCCGGTTTGTAATGAGAAATCCGTTGCCATCAATCATATAGGAAATCATCATGATCTGATCGATTACTGCGTCGGGAAATTTCAAAGGTAGTTTGGTCGTTTCAATATCGAATGCAAGAACAACAGGATCAGCTCGCTGAAGTCGTTCTTCAATACACGTCAATGTGATAACGCCATGCTTGGCCTCCACAGTGTACCACTTTCCGATACGGATATCTATCGGACGTCAGAAAACTTCGTCACACTTATTGGGAAATGAGCCGACCTTTGTCAATAGCAACTCTGACGTGGTAAGGAACATCATATTCTCGAATATCAATTATAAAATCACTCGCATTCAACGTGGCATTAGGTCGTGGGTCATTAGTCAATTCGTCATCAAAGAGATCAAAACCAGCATTTGCCCTGTCAAAAGAGTTAGAACAGGGAATACGTGATCATTCTCTGGGGGAATCAAACCTGGCCATCTCCGCATAAGTATCCATTTCCGTCACATTCTTCTTGTTTTTCTCGGCGATAGGCATGATCGTTTTCCGAACCTCCAGCAGATTGCCTACATTCGCAAAGTTGAGTTGCAGAAACGTCCTCCGGTGTCCGAGGAGATGGTTCGGCATCTGAAGATCCTCTTTTTCCACCCGTTTGATGCTTTTGATCAGGCCTTCGAACATCCTTCGACACCATTCTTCGACTTCTGCTTCGCGCCCTCCTTTCACTGCAATCAGAAAGTAAGGATCGTACTCCACGGTGGCCTTGAAACTGCCCCCATTGTCCTCGAGGAAATAGAAATCCACACCGGCTCGGCCTCCGGGAACATTAGGGTCCTCAATGGAAGTACTGTGCATATTAATCAGCCAACCCTCCCTCTTCTCGCCGGCCTCGAATCGGGGAAAGCCCATGGCCTCGTCGATACTGTTGGCCAGCCGAATTGCCTCGAACTTCTCATCTTGGGAGGTAGCTTCTGTCGACCGGAGGGAAGAAAATTCGACTGTTTTTGCCCGCTTGGGTTTGAACGAAGCGGCCTTTGACCGGAATTTGTTTCCATATTTGCTGGGCTTTCGTGAAGGCATTGCGTCGCTGCCCGCCAAGGGTAAAGGTCACCGAGACTGGAGAACAAAGGTGCTCAGATCATGGAAAGAAGTACAATCGTGACCATTAATTATACAATTGAACCATAATTCACCGAAAAATCTCCCGCTCGTGGCAAAACACGTCTCCAGACCGTTGTGAGTGATGACGGCACTGTTTGAAGGTTTGAGAGCCTAGACTGACGCCCGCCTGTCTCGATCAATGCTGCGACGCGTTCGCGTTTCCTCTATACGCGTTCCGTTATCGGGCAGCAGCGTGCAGCGCATCTAT